AGGAGGCTTTGAACTGGGGGAAAAGGTGGCAATGAGGTGTGGCTGTAGCCTAGGAATAGTCAGGGAAGCAGATAATTTAGTTAAAATGTCTCGACCTAATAAGGGAGCTGGGCAGGTGGGGATAACTAAAAGAGTGCATAAAAGAATGTTGTCCAAGTTGGCACCAGAGTTGGGGACTTTTAAGAAGTTTAGAAGCCTGACCATCAATACCCACAACAGTTATGGAGGCAAGGGAAACGGGCCCTTGAAAAGAAGGTAATGTGGATTGGGTAGCCTCCGTATTAAGAAGGGGAAGGACTTAAGAGTTACTCAAAGCATCTGTGATGATCCAGGAGGCTTCCAAGGCGATGGGGCAGCGTCAGTCTTCAGCTGCTAAGCCGAGAAGATCTGGGAAGGAGTCAGTCAGAGAGCCTTGGGCCAGAGCTCCGGGGCTCTGAGAGTGGCTGCTGGGCGAGTTGGACAGTCCGATTTCCAGTGGGGTCCCGCTCAGATGGGACACGCTCAGATGGGACACGCTCAGATGGGACACGGCTTAGGAGGAATCCCGGGCTGCGGGCATTCCTTGGCCCAGTGGTCAGCTTTCCGGCACTTGTAGCAAGCTCCTGGGGGAGGAGGTTCTGGAGGAACCTGTGGCAGCTGCGGTTCAGGCATTCGGAATTGTGTGCTGGAGATGTGGCTGGGGTTTGTCTCACAGTGGAGGCAAGGAATTGCAACTCAGAAATAAGCTGCTACTTGGCTGCCTCTACTCTATTATTGTACACCTTGAAGGTAAGGTTCATTAAGTCCTGTTGTGGGGTTTGAGGGCTGGAATTTAATTTGGGGGGTTTATTTAATGTCGGGAGCAGATTGGGTAATAAAATAAAATGCATATTGAGAATAAGACGGCCTTCTGACCTTTCAGGGTCTAGGGCTGAAAAGCATCTCAGGGTTGCTGCTAAACAGGTCACGAACTGGGCTAAGTTTTTCATATTTGATGAAAAAGAGCCTCAACACTAACTGATGTGGGAGAGGTCGGATAAAGAAAAAGTAACATTAACCTTGACTAGGCCTTTAGCTCTAGCCACTTTTTAAGAGGAAATTTCTGGGCGGGTGGGGGAGGGCTAGTCGAGGAATGAAACTGTAAGCCAGACCAGGTGTGAGGCGGGGAGGTGGTAGGAGGATTATAGAGTGGGGGAGCAGAGACAGGAAAAATGGCGAGGAGGACAGAGGTCAGAGGGGTCTGTAGAAAAGGAGGACTGGAAAGACTCAGCGACGCTTGGGGTTGGGACTGAGGGCACAGGCGGGAGGGAAAGAAGGAAGATTTGCATTGGGGGACAGAGACTAGGGAGGGACCGATGTGTAAAAGAATGCCTGGACGTCAGGCGCCTCAGACCAGTGGCCCATTTTACGACAAATTATTTAGATCTTATAGGATGGAAAAATTGAAAGTGCCGTTTTCTGGCTGTTTGGAACTACTGTCGAGTTTGTATTGGGGTCAAGCGGCATTGTAGAAGAAAATAAGGCATTTAGGTTTTCGATCAGGTGTGAGTTGAAGAGGTTTTAAGTTCTTGAGAACACAGGCTACGGAGAAGAATGGAGGGTGGAAGGTTGCCCATGGTGAATGAAGGAGGGAAGCCCAGAGAAGAGAGAGTAGAGACACAGAAAGAGTTCGTGGGTTTTTGCCCTCCAGAAAAGCAAGAAAGGGGTCGGGGAGCAGAAATAAGGTATTGGGGCACAAAAATAGGAGGTTGGGTCACAAAAATAAGGTCAGGGAGCAAAAATAAGAGGTTGGGTCGCAAAAATAAGAGGTCGGCGTTCTTGCCCCTCCCCCAGAAAAGCGGGACTTGCCACTTAGGGTGAAGGACCAAGGCAGGCGTCCCCGCAGTGTGGTCAGACACCCCTGAAACGTGGGTGAGTAATCAGAGGCGTCCCTGCAATGATTAAACACCAAGGGAAGGCTGCCTTCCCCAGTCCGTGACCGGCGCCGGCGTTTTGGGTTCCACGGATAAAACCTGTCTCCTTTGTCTCTACCAGAAAATGAAAGGAATTGAAATTAAGAGAAGGGAGAGCTTGAAGGGTGGCGCCAAGACTGAAAGGAGAAAGAGGTCGAGGGATAGTGAGAGAGGTTGGAGAAGAGAGTAAAAAGAGGCCTCTTACCCCATTTAAAATTGGTGAGATGTTCCTTGGGCTGGTTGGTTTGAGGACTAGAGGTCGTAGGTGGATCTTTCTCACGGAGCAAAGAGCAGGAGGACAGGGGATTGATCTCCCAAGGGAGGTCCCCTGATCCCAGTCACGGCACCAAAATGTCATGCGTGTCCATGTGGAGAGACCACCAAACAGGCTTTGGGTGAGCAACATGGCTGTTTATTTCACCTGGGTGCAGGTGGGCTGAGTCCAAAGAGTCTGCGAAGGGAGATAAGGATCGGGCCGTTTTATAGGATTTGGGTAGGTAAAGGAAAATTACAGTCAAAGGGGGGTTCTCTGGTGGGCAGGAGTGGGGGTCACAAGGTGCTCAGTGGGGTAGCTTTTTGAGCCAGGATAAGGCAGGAAAGGGAATTTCACAAGATAATATCATCCCTTAAGGCAAGGCAGGGCATTTGCACTTCTTTTGTGATTCTTCAGTTACTTCAGGCCATCTGGGCGTATTAAGTGCAAGTCACAGGGGATGTGATGCTTGGGCTCAAGGCCTGACATCCTCCCCCACTCTTTTTCTTTTGAAGAGTTGGGGGTTTCACTCTGTTGCCCAGGTTGTAGTCTAGTGGTGTGATCATAACCTTAAACTCCTGGGCTCAAGTGATTCTCCTGCCTCAGCCTCCCAAGTAGCTAGGGCTATATGTGTATGCCATTATGCCTGGCTAATGTTCAAATATTGGCTCAAATGATCCGCTTCAGTCTCCCAAAGTTCTGGGATTACAGGTGTGAGCCACTGTACTTGACATGACCTCTCTGGATACAGTGGACACTTGCTACCATCAGACCAGCAATGAAAAGCTGTCAACTCTTTGTCATTCAGATCAGCTTTGATTAAAATAATTATTACCAGCCAGGACAGTGACTCTTGCCTGTAATTTTAGCACTTTCAGAGGCCAAGGTGGGAAGACCGCTTGACCCCAGGAGTTAGAGACCAACCTGGGCAACAGAGTGAGACCCTGTCTCCACAAAAATAAATAATTAAAAAGAATTATTTCCTAATAATTTGGGAATACCGTATTACTCTATCTTGCACAGCATTTGACATGACCCACAGAGCTAGGCTTTGGTAGTCAAGCGTTCACCAACAGTTAAATTCACGTTAAAGATGACACCTCCTGTTCATTGACTTTTTACTACGTGGAGGTTTTATACTACGTTTTCATATATTCTTTTCATGTAATCTTCTTGACAGTCCTATGAAGGTCTCATTATCCACCTCTGTTTTGTAGATGAGAAGACTGGTTTCAGAAAAGTTGAGTGCGGAAGACTACAAAGCTGTTTGTAAGTTATCAAGCTAGGATTTGATCCCAGGTCTGCCTGACTCCAAATCCTGGTCTCTTAACCATGACACAGGAGTGCTCGCTTGACTCCTGTGATGTCATAAAGAACTGTCAGAATGGGTCATCTGGCATGAAAACCCCTGTGCCGCAACTGTTGGTCTAATTTTTCTCTACAGCACCATCTGAAGATGCAACAAAGATAGGAACCACTGATAAGGCAGAACTTTTTCTTGTCTGGCAGAGTAGAAGCTGGAAGTTCCTCCCCACTAGCCTTTCCACCTTGTAAGGGATTTGGACCCTTCAAGCTTAGTGGGCAGTCTTGAGAATTACATGGGCTACAGGTGAAAACTTACATATCAGAACCTTAATTTAACAACCAGTTAAGACTTGAGTGTGGTAAAAGATTCATTTATTTATTCAGTCAACAAACCATGTGGCATTACATACTATATTAAAATAAAAACATAAGAATAAAATACAGGCACAAAGAAGGCTATTGTGACTATCCTTAAAGAAACACATTTAGGAAGAATGATGACCTTTTGGGTATGCTTTCAAGCCAAAGAGCTATCCTAAATGAAAAGGAAGATCGGGGCCTTGTCTGGCATCTTAAGTAGTTGTGTGATCTTGGAAGTCTCCGGCTTTAGCTTCCTCACCCGCAATGAAAATTAAAAAGAAAAATGGAAAAAAAGAAGCAAAACCAAAATCTTGATTTAGAGAAGTAGACTCTTTTTGAAGTAGAAAGCAAAACAAATTTTGAAGGGCCACATTTCTGTGAAATATTGTCTTTAACTCGCGGTCTTTGTTTCAGTTGTAACGGTTATAAATGGCACTTCATTTGATTTTTTTTTTTTTTTTTGATTAAACATTTTACTGGGCCCTGTTTAATCAGACACAGAAGCCAGGTATGTAGAACTGCGGTAACTCACCGTGCTGTAACTTCCTAGATGAAAGGGCCGTGGCAGTTACAACAAAACAAATTTCTTTAATTCTGCACTGTCAGTATTCAAACTAGTTTCCGAATCTAAGGGACACACTCTGCCAAAGCACCGGTCAGGCATTTGAGGAGCGATGCCTATCTTGGAGTGAATTCTCACAGGGTTATCTTCGTCTTATGAAATGGTGTAGTGACTGCCCCTTTTCTCCTTTACTAAGTCACACTCAGCCAAAGTGGAAAACAAAAAACCAAAGAAAAAAACCAAACCAAAAAAAACGACAAAATACACCATACGCAAATAGAAAAAAACAAAACAAAACCCCAAAACACCTCCTAAAGCGTCGGGCTCTAGGTTAGCGTTGAGCCTCTGTGCTCCCTGCTTTGCTGGGAACAGGCAGATCCATCGCTCCCTTAGGCGCTCCCTTTAGTTTTCTAAGCGTCGGCGCCCGGAGCGACGTCCACCACGGAAGGTCTTTCCCGGAAACGGTTTTCCGTCCCGCCGCGCCGCCCGCCTACGCCACCACTGGCCCGCTGCTAGTCGGAAGCCGGCAAGCCGTCCGTCCCCCGCCGGGCAACGCCCATCGCTGTGGCGTCACTGGGAGTTGTAGTTTCCCTGGGCTCAGCGGTGCCTGCGCTTTAGCCCAGAGACGCGGGTGAGAGCCTCACTTCCCACAGGCCCTCGGCACGGGGGCGGGGCTCCGACGGAGGCGGTGATTGTGGCGGCTGATTTGTAAATGCTGCGGAGATTCAGGCGTCGGTTCCTGCTACTGAGCGGCCCGGCCTTCACGGAGCGGTAATTTGTGGGCCAAAGGAGCGGAGGAGCTCTTTGTCCGTGGCCCCGCGCCGGGGAGGGACGGCGGTGGGCTGGCAGGGCTCCGCTCGGCCCTCGGGGTTGGCTCGGCGGGGCGTGGAGGGAGCGGGGCATTGGGGCGCACTGTGGTTCACGGCAGTTCAGTGGCTTCGCCCGTTTGCGCTGCTTTGTTCGCAGAGCGGGGGAAGCCGACTTCTCTGGGGTGTCTGTCTGTCCTGGCTGTGGCGGGACTTGCGTTCCTGTGGGCAGCGCGGCCGCCGCAGTCCCGTGGAGCAGGGCGGTGAAGTAGGGTTGCTGGCTGTCCTCAGGGCCGGTCTGGCCCGGCTTTGTCAAGGGCTTCTCTCTTGAAGCTTCGTGTGGATTCGTGGCTTTCGAGGACGTGTTGTATTTTAGGGGACTGCTAAATCGCTTCCCAAACGAACTAGCCAACTTTTTACGGTCTAAGAGTGGCTTTGAATTTGCTGTTTGTATCCACTCTCCTCCCTCACCGTGCAGAGATTTTTTTTTTTTTTTTTTTTTTTTTGCTTTAAAGAATGTTTACATAGCGCTCTCTGGAGGTTTCAAGGCTGTCAATTTGTTATGTTTTTAAAAAGTTTTATTTAGGTATAATTGCTATACAACAAAAATGGCACATGTTTAAATGCATTCCATTTAATGAGTTTGACATACATGTGCACCCGTGTCCTTTAGATTTTGGTATCTGTGAAGTCTGAATCCACATACTAATCCTATCTCGGCATATTATCAATGCTTCGTTTACCGAGACCTCACTATCAGTAATAGCAGGTTTTGGTTAAACTGTTTTTATACTTCATGCTGACATTAAATATGTTTTTAAGATCACGGTCATGAAATTGAAGTGGAGGTATAGAGGGTGTTTTTGGTCGGAGTTGGAGGGGGAGATGCGGATGTCTGGGTGCTGCATCTCAAGACTCCTTGCACTTGTCAGTCTAGTAGGGAATTTTTCTAGTTTTCCGTATTATGAAATGACCTTGTAGTCTGTCTCTTCTGAATTTGGCTTTCAAAAGATTTTCTGCTAAGTCATTGAAATTAAGCAAAGTTACGTGGTTGATTTTGAGGGAAAAAAAAGTCATTTTTTTTTAGGTTTTGGGTGGTCCCTACCTGAAAAACCAATCCAATTCTGCTTAGACAAAAGTTTTAATAAAAGTTGCATATCCAGGGAATAACCAGATCAATCCAGTAAAGTGCGCTAATCTTAAGTGTACAGCCCAAATGTATCCACCCCCTGTATTAACCTTCCCAGTTGTTGAAGTCAAAATAAAAATTTGGAGATGAATCTCTAAATTTGCCAATTTATTTGGGAAGAAAGAATGGCAGTTCCAGGCGTACAGACCAGGTGGCCTTCTGTATGTCCAAAGAGCAAAGAGAAAGCTGGAGGTTTTATAAAAAAAGAGAATTGTTGTATGTGTCGCTCTTTGAGAAAGTTCATTGGTTCTCCTAAGGTTCTGGGGAGGCAGCAGGTCCTACGGAGTGGGCCATGGTGACGGGCAAAATTAATCCTAGAATTGCAACAAGCTACCCCAGCATCTGTGGATCAGACTGGTCTCAGGTTACCACCGGCAGTTTCAGCATACCGACTGGCAGAGAATTCCATTCTAGGAGCAAACTTATGTGTCCTGAGTGCCTTTCCCTCTTCCCTTCTTGATTGTTTAGTTGGATATGACAAGAGTGACCCAATTCGTATGATCAGCTTTCACACAGTCAGGACAGCCTCCATTTTCCTGGATAACGGGCAGTATGCCCTTTATAACTATGGGTATATTTTGCCTGTTCTTCAGCTTCATATCTATGGAAACACGGGCCAGGCGCGGTGGCTCATGCCTGTAATCCCAGCAAATTGGGAGGCCGAGCTAGGTGGATCACTTGAGGTCAGGAGTTTGAGAACCACCTGACTAACATGGTAAAACCCCATCTCTACTAAAAAATTATATATATATATATAAAGTAATATATATATATATAAAGTTATATATATATATAAAATAGCATATATATATAGCCAGGTATGGTGGTGCATGCCTGTAGTCCCAGCTACTCTGGAGGCTGAAGCGGGTGAATCGCTTGAACCCGGGAGGCTGAGGTTGCAGTGAGCCAAGATCACACTACTGCACTCCAACCTGGCCGACAGAGTGAGACTCCATCTCAAAAAAAAAAAGGAAACATATACATTTGTCTGATGTTTACACATCATTATTTTTGTTACTGGCTGTGGCAGCAATTTTTGTTTTTGTTTTTATAAATGCCTGAATAGCTGTGGTTCTCAAAGTGTGATACGGTGAAAAAATGTACATCACATTGGCATTTTTGTTTTTGGTTATTAAATTGTTGGCAGGCAATCATCTTGTTCCAAGAAAATCTTCAGTTGCAATTAATAGTACATAAGCCTTTATACAACTCTTCTACAACTCAACCAGGGAGCAGTGGCAAAAACACGGCATCATTACGTTCACTGTCTGCTGTTTCTTTTAACAGTTCTCTGAACTGGCAGTTGATAGCATTTGTACATACTGAACAATTTTAACAATTATATTCATGATACTATTCATGGATTATGCTTCAGAAAACCGAACACAAGAATTTTCAATGTGTATTATACAGGGGAATGAATCAGTGAGGGAAATAGCAGTCTCTTGTTGTAAAATCCCATTACATTCAGATTTTTTGCCTTATAAAATGACACCATCTGTCATGATAGAAACTGATTTTTAGGCTGGGCACAGTGACTCACACCTGTAATACCAGCAGTTTGGGAGGCCGAAGCAGGAGGACGGCTTGAGCCTAGGAGTTCAAGATCAGCCTGGGCAATGTAGGGGCACCCCGTTACTACAAAAAAAAAAATTAGCTGGGCGTGGTGACACACACCTGTAGTCCCAGCTGCTCTGGAGGCTGAGATGGAAGAATCACCTAAGCACGGGAGGTTGAAGCTGCAGTGAGCCATGATTGTGCCACTGCACTTCAGCCTGGGCAACATTGTGAGACCCTGTCTCGGGGGGGGGGGGAACTAATGTTTTCATATCTAGCTGAAATTCTTCTGTCAGACATAAAATACTGGGGCGCAGGGGCTCACACCTGTAATCCCAGCAGTTTGGGAAGCCAAGGTGGGAGAATGGCTTGAGCCCGGGAGTTCGAGACCAGCATGGGCAACATATGGGGACCACTCTTTACAAAAAATTAGATTAACTGGGTGTGGTGGCATATGCCTGTTGGTCCCAGCTACTCCGGAGGCTTGCGGTGGGAGGATCACTGGGGCCTGGGTGGTAGAGGCTGCACTGAGCCGTGATCATGCCACTGCACTCCAGCCTAGGTGACAGAGACCCTATCTCAAAAAAAAAAAAAAAGTTAAAAAACATCCATGCCACAGGTTCAGTTTTAAGGCTTTGAATTGATATCATCTCTTTGTAAATTCGGGTAATCTTTGAGATAAAACACACCTAAATTGGTGATTGGTCAGTCTCTCATTGCATTACACAGATAAAGCTAAAGGCAAGTGCTTGTAATTTTTTACAGCTTTGAACCTGGATACTAGTAGAAGGGTCTGTGGACAATTGGTTGGTCACTTAGTTGAAAATTTTTCACTTTTTGGAAAACATCTATAACCTTTTAATTAAAATATCTTTTAAAATCGCACAATAGTCTAGCAATTTCCTCAACTCAGATAACCTGTTTACCTTCTCTTCATCTGAAAATAATTTTCTTTTTTCTTTTCATTTCTCTTTCTCTTTCCTCAGCCTCTTTCTTTCCAGGCTTTTTTATAACTGGCCAAAGCTAAAGCTCAGATTCTGTTCAAAATCATAAAACATTTTTTTGTTAGATATTTAGTCCTGATACAGGTGACTAATTACAGTTGACTCTCGAACAACGTGAGTTTCAACTTTGTGGGTTCGCTTATGCCTGGATTTTCTTCCACTTCTGTCACCCTTGAGACAGCGAAACCAGCCCTTTCTACTCCTCGTCCTAGTCCAATGTGAGGGCTGGTGACACGAAGACCTTTACTATTAAGTGGAAGCGGATCATCATGAAGGTCTCCCTGCGTATCTTTTATATGTTTATGTTTTTTAGACACCAAGTATGAAGTCAACACCTTCATGATGATTCATTTCCACTTAACCAATAAATATGTATTTTTTATTATTTTCTTATCATTTTTTCTCCAGCTTACACTATTGTAAAAATACTGTATATAATATACATAACATACAAAATATGTTTTACCTGTTGTCGATAAGGCCTCCAGTCAACAGTAGGCTGTTGGCGGTTAAGTTTTGGAGAAGTCAGAGTTACACTTAGAACTCCCCACGCAACTGAAAATCTAAGTGTACCTTTGTTTTAAATTTTAAAAATTGTTCATACTTATTTTTCAAACTAGAAAAATAATTATGCTGTAATTAAAATACTAAATATTTCAACTTAATTACTGCTATGACTTGAATGTCTGCCCCAAAACTCATGTTGGAATGTTAATTCCCAGTGCAACAGTGTTGAGAGGTGGGAAATGTAAAAGGTGATTAGGTCATGAGGGCTCTACCCTAATGAGTGGATTAATGCTGTTATCTCAGAAGTAGGTTACTGATTTCAGGGGTAGCTTTGTTATAAAAGACAGCCTCTCCCTCACAGGCTGTTTTTTTGCCTCTCTACTCTTCCCCCATGGGGATAACCCTTGCCAGTTGCCAATGCCATGCTCTTGTTCTTCGCAGCCCCAGAACTGTGAGAAATAAATTTCTTTATATATTACCTAGTCTCTTCTCTGGTATTCTGTTACAGCAGCAGACAATGGACCAAGATAATTACCAATTACAATTTAAACAGATCACCGTAACTTGCACTGTTTTCAGAAACTATTCAAATAAACACTTAACAGTGTTATGGCCGTGTGTTGAAAACAAATTATTCAAACAGAATCAGTCCATTGACACTGATGAGATTGCAGACATGTTTCTTTGCAATCTGGGGGGGTAATGCACACTGACACGGGCTTCAGGACAGCAGCATCTTATACCATGCAGTGGTTAAAGTGAAATGTGGTCCTACCAAGAGAATAAAGTGTTTAAGAGAAAAATATTTTGTACTTCACTTTTAAATTTAATTAACTTTAATTAAAATGGAAAATTCAGTTCTTCGGTCACATTAGCCACATTTCAAATGCTCAGTAGCCACGTGACTAACTGTACTAGATGCATAGGTCCATGTAATTGTATTTTTTTGTCTTTATTTCTTATAATACGCACTGCTGTGCACTTTGTAACTAGCAACGTATCTTGGATATTTTCATTACTTCTGTATCAGTGAAGAGCTTACTTGTTCTTTTTAACAGTTGTGTAATATGATTACCATGATTATTTGATCTCCTGTTAATGGACATTTACTTTCAGTTTATTGCAAATGTGAGTTTATGCCAGTATAACTGTGGGACAAAATGCCTAGATGTGAAGTTGCTGAGTCAAAGTTCCTCTGAATTTACAGTTGGCTAGATATTGTCGTATTGTTCTTCAAAATGTTGTCCCAGTTCATTCGCTCAGTGAATCCTCAACGTTTCTTCAAGTTAAATGATGAGAATGGCTCAGAGTTTCTTCAAGTTAAATGATAAGAAACAAACAAAAGCCAAAAAGAGTTTCTGTTTCTCATACTGGTATTACCAGTTTTCAGTCTTTGCCCACCGAGGGCAAGAAAAAATGGTAATGTCGTTATTGTTTTCATTTCCATGTCTTCAGTGGAGTGACAATGTGCCATTTTAATGTTTCAGCATCAGTATTTTTCTGTTTATACTTTTCATATGTTTCTGTTTTTTAGACGCCAAGTATGAAATGACATACATGTTTGTTTGCCTCCACATTGCCCTTTTTATAAAGTCTAGAATTGTGTCTGGAAAGTAGTGTGAGATGTCATTCCACTTTGGGACTAGACTCTTCCCATCTCCTCCAGAACATGACTGTAGCAATTCTCCCCTTTCTCCATCTTCATCAGCCTACGAACATGCTTTTATTTCTCCTATGTATTTCCTTCTTTTTATAACAGAACTCCTGGTGTTAGCTGTCTACTGTCTTCAATTTCTTATTCATGCATCCTCTCCACTCAAGCTTTTGCTCTCCCTGTCCCCAACTGCTCTCACTGAAGTTCTCATGACCTTTGCTTTGCCAAATTCAGAGTTCAGTTCTCAGTTCTCCTTACCCTTCATGTGTGCACAGCATTTAGCATAGCTCTTTCCTTCTCAAAACACTTTCATCACTTAGCCTCAAGGACGCTACACTTTTTGCTGCTTATCTGTTTTTTTGTTTTGTTTTTTTTTTTTTTGAGATGGAGTCTTGCACTTGTCACCCAGGCTGGAGTGCAATAGCGCAATCTTGGCTTATTGCAACCTCTGCCTCCTCGGTTCAAGCAATTCTCCTGTCTCAGCCACCTGAGTAGCTGGGATTAGAGGCTCCCGTCACCACACCTAGCTAATTTTTTGTATTTTTAGTAGAGATGGGGTTTCACCATGTTGGCCAGGCTAGTCTCAAACTCCTGACCTTAGGTAATCCACCAACCTCAGCTTCCCAAAGTGCTGGGATTACAGGCGTGAACCACTGCACCTGGCCGCCTTCTCTCTTTTTGACTACCCCCAATCCCTCAGTGATCTCATCCAGTGTCAAGGCTTTAAATACCATCTTTATGCTGAGGATGTCCAAATCTATGCTTCACAGCCTTGGCCTCTTTGATGAGTTGCATTCTGGTGCATCCAGCTGCTGCTGACATGGTGTCTCTACTTGCATGTCTCATAGGCATCTTAAAATGTCCTAAATTCAACTCTTGGTCTCTGATTCCCCCAAACCTGTTTCGTCCTCCATCTTCCCCCTTTCAGTAAATGGCAAATCTGTTCTTCAGGTGCTCAGCCAGGAAATGTTAGGAAATGAGGGAGAAGATGGCATTGATCTCTGGAGGTTGGTAGACAATAAAGGAGGGGTAGTAGATTGTGTAGTTTGGTCATATGAGAGTCAGAATTGCTTGTTAATTTATTATTTCTTTATTGTTTTTTGAGATAGGGTCTCACTCTGTTGCCTAGGCTGGAGTGCAGTGGTGTGACCTTGGTTCACTGCAGCCTTTGCCTCCCAGGTTCAAGCGATTCTCCCACCTCCGCCTCCTGAGTAGCTGGGATTACAGGCATGCACCCTGACACCCGGCTAATTTTTTTGTATTTTTGTTAGAAACGGGGTTTCACCATGTTGGCCAGGCTGGTCTCAAACTCCTAACTTCACATGATTCGGTTGCCTTGGCCTCCGAAAATGCTGGGATTACAGGCGTGAGCCACCGCGCCCAGCCTATTTATTTTTTGAGATAAGGTTTTGCTCTCTTGCCCAGGTTGGAGTGCTGCTTACAGCAGCCTCGATCTCCTAGGCTCAGGCGATCCTGCCACCTCAGAACTCCCAAGTAAAATTGCTTTTTATGGTCTAGAAAAGGAGTGTAGTCTGGAAGGAGAAGAGGAATAAGAATATATGTTTTGTCTCAAGGCTCAGTGGTACTGGAGTATGGACTCCATAGAAACAGCTGTTCTCAGGAAGGTGAGGGAGTGCTCAGACAAGAGGTTGAGGATAATGAGGATTTTGCTGATGATGGACTGTGGGTGTTTGGGGCTCGGATGTTTGGGAGATGGAGCAGAGTGAGGTGTGGGGATTAGTGTGTAAGAAGTGAAGCCTGGCTCTGGGTCTCAGGGCTTCCAGTGGTGAGTGATGTAATAGGTTTAAATAGGTAGATAATGGTGATGGGGGTTTCTGGAGGAATAGGGTATCAGCGGGAATGTCCTGCAGGTGAAGGTTAGGAAGGCTGGGGGGCGGGGTCTTACCCTGCCCCTGATAGCTGCACAACTTGCACCTTCTCCTTCCCTTGGTCCCTAATTTTCCCTTCTAAATGAGGACCCTGTCCACCCTGTCTAAACTTACAACCTCCTTTTCCCACATGGCTTTTATTTTTCCCCTTTGCACTTATTTCTGTTTAACATACTGTATAGTGTGTGTGTGTGTGAGTGTGTGTGTGTCTTCCCCACTAGACTTTGATTTATGAACTGCTGTGTACCCAGGGGCAAAAACAGTATCTGGCACAGAGTAAGAACCCAGTAAATGTTAGCTGAGTAAAATCAGACACACACAGAGGCAAGGCTTGTCTTCTCTGATGTCCTGGTTAAGTATATCTATCACATGGTGACAAAGTTACACTAGCAATTTGGTTAATTTTAAAGTCTGATAACTCATACAGAGTTCTAGCATGAGCCAATGTAATTTTTATTGGCTCATGCCATAAGAATTACATTTCTCCTACCTGGCAGACATGGTGCTTGGCAGTAGTGAATATATAGATACCTTCAAGGAACTTCACGGATTGGTAATGAAGGTGAAAGCAAAACACCACTAATGAGATGAGTGCTAGAAGAGTGACGTCACTATTTTACCTCTAGGAATACAGATGAAGGGGCTATCTGGTGGGTGAGGTGTTAGTAGGGAGATGAGAGAGGAAGGGACAGGTGTAACAGTGCCAGGTAAAGCCACAGGTGCTGGTGGTAACTTTTGTTCTAGAACTAGGGAGAAAACAGGTTCACCAGTTGGGCAAAGAAACAATGTTAAACAAGGGCCAGAAGCAAGAAAGTGCTTATTGTGGGTAATATCTGATAGCGGCTTTTTTTTTTTTTCTTAAGTGAATAACTTAAGGTATTTTATCTTCCATAGTTTAGTTCAACTAATCTAGCACTTGTATAAAATCATTAGTAATTGAATGTTTAGGTCAAAAAGGATCTTAGGTTTTTGATCTACTCAATTTGGTTATTTTTAAGACTTAAAAAAAAAAAATGTAGCTCAATGCCCGGTTGCTTCGCTAGTTCAGGTCTTTTGTATATGAAATATTGAGGACATTTTTATGCTGGGTTGAGATTTGGGCTTATTTTGAGTAGGACATCTAATGGCTTTACCTAATACATTTTGTTGGCTATCTTTGTCTACAGGTATTGGAAATCAGTAGCTCTTCTAGCCTTTGCATTGTTTAAATAGTGTCATTGGACTAAGATGTTCCTGATGCCAACCTCTTCAGAGTTAAATAGTGGGCAGAACTTCCTAACCCAGTGGATGACCAATCCTTCTCGGGCTGGGGTCATATTAAATCGTGGATTTCCTGTTTTGGAAGCAGACAAAGAGAAGCAAGCAGCTGTGGACATTTCTACCAGCTTTCCTGTTAAAGGCACACATTGTTCTGATAGCTTCAGCTTTATAAATGAAGAAGATTCACTTCATGAAGAACAGAAGTTGGAGTCAAACAGCCCTTACAAACCACAGTCAGATAAATCTGAAACCCATACAGGCTTTCCTCGCATTACAAAGGGACCACAGATAGTGGCATGTCACGATGCTCCTGGACACCAGGAAGAGAACAAAAATGACTTCATCCCAGATCTTGCGAGTGAATTCAAAGAAGGGGCTTATAAAGACCCACTTTTTAAAAAACTTGAACAGGTACAATAGGGTTTGGGCTACTGTGGGTTTGTCATTGCAGGTTTCTGTTTATGTAATAAAGTCATCTGTTCCAGGTCTTCTTGTTTTTCCCCTTCACTCCGAAATCCTCAGAATACCAGATTTGGCCCTTTGTCTAATGTGAAACATTAAAGTGTGTTTCATATGTAAAATATAATTATAGCACTTACGATAACTTTAAGTTGTTACCTCATTTGGCAAAAAGTAAGAAATGGTTGTTCAAGTATTGGGGAAAAAAACAGTACATCATTGGGATGATCTACTGAAGCCCATCCTATTTTAACAATCAAAGGATTTATATGACTGTTTCGGTCTCTTAGTTGAGATAGTTGATGTGATTTCCTTCGTAAGGATTTGAGTTTTAGATTTTTGGTGGCTGATTTAGTTACCTAGGGATCCCTGTCTAAAGCTTCTTACCAGGAAAGATGGGAGGAGGAAGATGGGAGGAATTAAGGGAACAAGGCGTCCACGAAGAAATGTAAAGTTGATTTAATAAAATTAATTTTGTATGAAAAAAGCTGAAAGAAGTTCAACAGAAGAAGCAGGAGCAATTGAAGAGGCAACAGTTGGAGCAACTCCAGAGACTCATGGAAGCACGAGAGAAGCTGCTCGCCGTGGCGTCTGGGCAGTGCGCACTTCCAGGTATGCTTTGCCTGCACGGAGCTCCCGTACAGCGCACATTTCCGACCTGTGGTTGTTTGACAGGTTATTTCTATTGTTCCTGTATCACGTGTTGTAAACTCTAGTTTCTTCAAGGGCCAAGCAGATAAATGTGAAATGGTAGAGTTGTAATATAACTGGAACAAGAAGGAGCTGCGGCATTCTGGTGTGTGCCTGCCCTGCTTTCAGGCATTCATGTTTATTCATTAAAAAAAAAAAAAAATGAGCTGGGTGTGGTGGTCCATGCCTGCAGTCCTAGCTACTCTGGAGACTGAGGTGGGAGGATTGCTTAAGCCCAGGAATTTGAGGCTGCAGCAGTGAGCTATAATGGCACCACTGCATTCCAGTTGGGCAACAGAGTGAGACCCTGCCCCCCCAAAAACGGTCCAATGTAAGAAAAGTCAGATTTGGTCTAGAGCTACTACTGGTATCCAACCCCTGCCTGATGAATGAAAGCTGTTGGGTGTCATAAAGGTAAACATATGTAGAAGCCACTCTGTTCACCTGAAGAACCACACCAAAGATATTTTCTGGGGTAGAGATGACAGTATCCCGTTGTGTGACCTGTCAGTTAACGGAAAGCATCATGTGCCAATCAGGAAAGAAAACTGGAAATGTGACCTGGAGCAGTGGTTTGAAAGTGTCTTGACCACACTCTGTAGTGGTAAAAATGTTTAAAACCATGACTCATAATGACAGCAATTTCATGTCATCAGTCCTTATTGGTGTTCCTGGCAGGTAGTGAGGACATTTTCTATCTTGTTTATTCTAATTCTACATCATTTTTAAAAATGCTACATCTGATGACAGAATTATAGATTGTGTCCCACAGTTTGAAAAAAACTGAGGTTGGAGCCATGTGTTTGCTTTGCTTCTTGGTGCTACTTTTAAGAAATACACTTTACTGACCCAGGAAAGCACCTGTTCTGCTCAGAGATTGTGCTGGGCATTGAGAATACAAGAAAAAGAAGACTTGGCAAGTGAGTGAGGCTGGGTGCAGGGGTAGGGTGGGGCTTGGTTGTGAGAATTGTAGCACATGAACAATGGTTTAGGGAATTTGGATGTTTACCTCAGAGAATATAGAAAACATTGCCTTAAAATAGTTGAATGGCTTAGGGTTTCTTTATGGAATACATACAAAGAATAATCAAGATCACGTAAATAACAGCTATGATATTTTTAAAGGTAGAACCAGCACTATGACAGAATGACAGGAAAGCTGATTTCAAAGTTACTTATGTAAGAACTAGCCTCATTCAGTCACGGAGCAGTTTGCTTTGGGGCAGTGGTTTTCAAATATTTTGGTCTCGGGACCCCTTAGGATTCTTAAATGTTTGAGAGCCCCAAATAACTTTTGTTATATGGGCTGTATTTATCAATAACTTTTACTGTATTAGAGATTAAAACAGGCTAGACATGGTGGCTCACGCCTGTAATCCCAGCACTTTGGGAGGCCAAGGTCAGCGGATCACCTGAGGTCTGGAGTTCAAGACCAGCCTGGCCAACATGGTGAAACCCCCTCTGTATTAAAAATATAAACAATTAGCTGTGCGTGGTAGCACACGCCTGTAATCCCAGCTACTCAGAAGGCCGAGGCACGAGAATCACTTGAACCCAAGAGGTGGAGGTTGCAGTAACCTGAGGTTGCAGTGAGCTGAGATCGCACCACTGCCCTTCAGCCTGGGTGACAGAGCGAGACTGTCTCAATCAATCAATGGTTTTGTTAATCACCATTTCCTAATAAAGGGAAAAGATACTTTTATCACTGCGGAGAAGCATTTGTGGGTGGGGTCACTACTGGGGAGAAAAGAAAATGTTGAAGGAAGTCATCAGCTTTGTTGCTTTTCTTAATTGCAAGGTTTGAGTGTACTGCCTGATGATCAGAGCCAGAAGCACAGATCTCCAGGAAATGCCACCACTGGAGAGAGCGCCACACGCTGCTTCCCATCGTATGTCTACCCAGACCCAACCCAGGAAGAAACATGCGCTTCCAACATTTTATCCCATGAGCAAAGTAACTTCTGTAGAACTGCTCGTGGAGATTTTGTCTTAACTTCAAAACGTGCTTCTCCTAATTTATTTTCTGAGGCACAGTGTCAAGAAGCACCTGTGGAAAAAAGTAATTTAAAAGAAGAAAACCGTAACCATCCTACAGGTGAGCTACTTGTGTTTCCCTCTTCTGTACTTACAGTGTTACTAACTTGTCCTAAGATCAAGCCTTTCCGTGGTTTTTCTTTAAAAATTACTTTTTCAAAGATGGAGTCTTGGCCGTGTTGCTCAGGCTGGACTCAGACTCCTAAGCACAAGTAATCCTCCCCGATCAGCCCCTGAGGTAGCTGGGACTATAGGCACATGCTACCCTGATAGCTCTGTGTGGTTATTTTTTTCTTGTCCCCTGTGGCGTGTTTTGTTTTTTTTTTTGATTCAGAGTCTCGCTCTGTCACCCAGGCTGGAGTGCAGTGGCACAATCTCGGCTCACTGCAACCTCTGCCTCTAGGGTTCAAGTGATTCTCGTGTCTCAGCCTCCCAAGTAGCTGGGATTACAAGTATGCGCCACCATGCCCAGATAATTTTGTGTGTTTTTAGTAGAGATGGGGTTTCACCGTGTTGGCCAGGCTAGTCTCAAACTCCTGGCCTCAAGTGATCTGCCTGCCTTGGCCTCCCAAAGTGCTGGGATTACAGATCTGAGCTACTGCACCCAGCCTTCATGCCTTGTTCCTAATTTAGAGTTAATTCATCGGTGTGGAAAGCTCACATATGTTTTTCTTCTTTTTTACACAACATGCTTCCCTAGCCTTTTGTTTTGGAAAATTTCAAACATCTAAAAAAGTTGAAAGACCACTGCAGTGATTACTGATATACCCACCACCTGCATACAGCGGTTAATATTTTGCTGTATTTACTCTATCAATGTATGTATGTGTGTGTATATATCTTCTATATGTATATCCTTATCTTTACCTCTATTTGTATATAATTTGCTGAACCATTTCAGTGAAAATAATATGCAGGTATCTTGTTACTTCATTCCAAATATTTCAGTATGCATCAAGTAAAAATTAGGACATCTGTTTAACCACAGTGCTATTACTATATCTAAAGAAATTAATGATAATTCCTTAATATTCAAGTTCGTTTTGGAATTCCCACAGTTATCCCAAAATGCCTTTTAAAGGTGCTTTTTTTTTTTTAAAGGATCCAATCAGATTCATGCATATCCAGTCAAGTTCATGTATTATGCTTGATTCTTATAACTCTTTAGTCTTTTTTTTTTTTTTTTTTTTTTTTGAGACGGAGTTTCGCTCTGTCGCCCAGGCTGGAGTGCAGTGGCGCGGATCTCAGCTCACTGCAAGCTCCACCTCCTGGGTTTACGCCATTCTCCTGCCTCAGCCTCCCGAGTAGCTGGGACTACAGACGCCCGCCACCTCGTCCGGCTAGTTTTTTGTATTTTTTAGTAGAGACGGGGGTTTCACTGTGTTAGCCAGGATGGTCTCGATCTTCTGACCTCGTGATCCGCCCGTCCCGGCCTCCCGAAGTGCTGGGATTACAGGCTTGAGCCACCGCGCCTGGCCTAGTCTTTTTAATCTCTAGAAAAGCCCACACTTTTTTTCCTCGTGACATTAACCTTTTGAAGAATGTCAAGTGTCTTTATTTTATTTTTGAGACAAGGTCTTGCTGTGTCACCTCGGTTGGAGTACAGTGGCACCATCTTGGCTTATTGCAACCTCTGCTTGCTCTCAGCCTCCCAAGTAGCTGGGATTACAGGCATGTGCCACCACACCTGGCTAATTTTTTTTTTTTTTTTTTTGTAGAGGTGGGGTTTTGCTGTGTTGACCAGGCTGGTCTCAAATTCCTGGCCTCAAGCTATTCTCCCGCCTTGGCCAAAGTGCTAGGATTACAGGTGTGATCCACCACACCCGACCTCAGGTGTCTTAATTGCAGTTTTGTAGTTTCTTGTAATTATATTAAAGAATTCCTTGAGTGTTGTAAAATCTTTGACATACATCACTTTTAATTAAAAATTTTTTTAGCATAGTAACTTGTAAAATTTTCATGTTTTAAGACATTAATATGCTTTTCTTGAGCTAAATTGTTCCTAATTTTTTATCTCAGGAGAAAGTATTTTATGTTGGGAGAAAATGACAGAACAAATTCAGGAAGCTAATGTTAAGAACTTAAAAAAACATGATGATTCCTCAGAAGTGGCTAATATTGAAGAAAGGTATTGTTCATGTGGAAAGTGAGAAATGTGACTATTTAGTAAACAGCTAGCCTTTGTTATTGAACACTTGTTTGAAAGATCTGTACTTTTCTTGTTTCTGCTTGACGATGCTTTAAAGTATCAGGTTAAATATACAACCTCTTATGTACTGTCAACAGCAAAGGAGGTTGGGAGATATGTCAGTTAAAGCTGCTTTGACATTGTGTTGTCAAAGCTTTTTCACTTAAGAGAAACATCTGGATAAAATCAATTTTCTCTCAAATAGTTAAATCCTATTTTTGGAGAAGGGAAAAATTAAGTATTGGCATCTCCAATTTGGCGTCACTTATTAATTATAATTGCATAATCAGTTACAGAATTTTAAAATATGGCAAAGATAAAGTATTTTATCATTTAAGTAAGTTATTTAAAAAATTTATTTCAACATTTTTGAATATAATGATATGGACAAAATGACTTTTCTGATTATTACTTCACTCACATTAAGGGCCTTTCTTAATTAAAAAAATGCATGTTTAGTGATCTATTTTTGAAATACATTTTAAAGTTATTTGCTGAATGTGTTACTCCATGTGTTAATCTGTAGTCGATAGATGGACTTCAGAAGGGTTCTTAGGACTCCAGAGTCATGTGAAGAGTGTTGTGTGTTTCTGTATTTTAAGGGGTGGAGAGGGATTGTGGCTTTTGTTAGCTTCTCAAAGGGAGGCGCTGATTTTGGGAAAAGTTAGTTCTCCGTGTTGTCAAGGTTTTCTATACCAGGGACACTAAGTGTAAAATATTCACACATTATGATTTGCATGTTAAATAACTTTGTGTTTCTAACTAGGCCCATTAAAGCTGCTATTAGAGAAAGGAAACAGACCTTTGAAGACTACTTAGAAGAACAAATTCGATTGGAAGAGCAAGAACTGAAGCAAAAACAGCTGAGGGTGAGCAATTGTGCTCTTCTGATTAAATCGTTCTAAGGCTTTAGAGATTTATCTATAATTTGCCTTAAAAATAACTTTGAGATGACTTGGATATACCAAAATTAATTCAAATATTATTATTTTATATTTTAGGAAGCAGAAGGACCACTGCCAATCAAAGCAAAACCAAAAAAACCATTTTTAAAACGAGGAGAAGGTTTAGCCAGATTTACTAATGCTAAATCTAAGTTTCAAAAAGGGAAAGAAAGTAAACTAGTGACTAACCAGAGCACTTCCGAGGACCAGCCACTATTTAAAATGGATAGACAGCAACTCCAGCGGAAAACCGCTCTCATAAATAAGGAGCCGTGCGCAGACAACCCTGCCCTTAAAAAGGAGAGTAAAGCTGGAACCAAGAGTGGTTCTGTCGCCCTCAGTCAGAAGCCGAAAGTGCTGAAGTGTAGTGACAGGAAAAGTCTTTCTCCATCAGGACTGAAAATACACACAGGGAAGAAATGCGATGGGCAATGTAGAGACCAGATCAAATTTGATAAAAGAGTCGCATCTAATAATAAAGAAAATGTGCCTGAGAGTCGAAAACCTTGCGATACTGGCTGCACAGGGTGGAATAAGACACCAGGTAAAGACGGACCTCCTCTTTCAGCGGGGCCGGCCAGCCGCCTGGCTTCCAAGAGCCCCATGAGGGAGACCATGAAAGAGTCTGAATCTTCTCTTGATGTTTCTCTTCAGAAAACGTTAGAGACTTGGGAACGAGAAAAGGAAAAGGAAAATTTGGAATTAGATGAATTTTTGTTTTTAGAACAAGCTGCTGATGAAATATCATTTTCTAGTAATTCCTCATTTGTACTGAAAATCTTAGAAAGGGATCAACAGATCTGCAAAGGTCACCGGATGTCTTCCACCCCTGTCAAAGCTGCGCCACAGAAGACAAATCCGGCAGATCCCGTTAGTCAGTGTAGCCGCGGTGAGGGTTTGGACCACACTGCACGTGAGAAGGACGGTGAGTGTGAAGTCACACCCAGACAACTCCGTTCACTGTCCTCAGCTGATGAATCGAGGGAACAGCCTTGTAAAATCAGTAGGAAAGCCGTCCAAAAGAGCACTTCTGAAAATCAAACGGAATGGAATGCAGGTGACGATGAAGGTGTTCTGAACAGTGACAGTAGCAGTGACTCTGAGGAACAGCTTGATATTACCATAAAACCCTCAACTGAGGATAGAGGAAGGGGCTTCAGCAGCAGAGAGGACAGCCCACACATCTGTGATGGTAAGGGGCCTTTTAAGGACACCGGGGCCCAAGAAGATAAAAGGAGAGACGTCGATCTGGATTTGTCTGATAAAGATGACAGTAGCGATGAGTCTGTCATAGAAAGCGTAAAACACAAAGCATCTGAGCCTGCAAGACCCTCATCCCTAAGTATGAGTAAAATGGACTTTGATGATGAGAGAACTTGGACTGACCTTGAAGAGAACATGTGTAATCATGACGTTACTCTTGGGAATGAATCCACTTACGGGACGCCGCAGACATGCTACCCTAATAATGAAACAGGTGTCCTGGACAAAACAATAAAAAGGAAGATTGCACCAGTCAAGAGGGGAGAAGACTTGAGCAAGTCCAGGAGGAGCGGAAGTCCTCCTCCTACATCGGAGCTGATGATGAAATTCTTTCCTGCTTTGAAACCAAAACCGAAGTCAGATTCACACTTGGGAACCGAACCCAAGTTAAACATAAGTCAAGACCAACCACCTGGTGAGTCAGAGCATTATAAAATATGTATCGGAATGTTAGAAAGTTAACATTTATCGGTATGCTGTCAGAATACTTAAAATCCTAACTTTCCTTATTGCTCAATAGAAGTCAAATTAATGGGTGATTGTAAAAATTTGATTTATTTTGTGGGTCGATATAATGCTTTAAAATTAATTACTTTTTAATAAAGTGAGATAACATCAAAGCTTCTACGTTTCCATTCTTCCCCAGACCTGGTTCAAGTCCCCCTTCTAGAGGTACCATTATTACCATTTCATGTGTGTATTCTAAAGAGTCCATGCATAAAAAAGCATATGTGTCAGTTTGTGTATAATTACCTTTCTATACAAATGAAAATATGCTTTTTGCGTACTGTCCTGCACCTTGCTTATGATAAATTTTTAAGATTGTTCTAACGCATATACACATCTTCCTCATTCCATTTAATAGATGTGTAGTGTTTCTGTTGATGTAACAAACTTTTTAAACTCACGCTGAAAGATTCCTTTCCATTATATTGTATTATAAACTCTGACTGCCTAGCAGAGCATAGGTGCTTTAAAATAGAAATTATAACGTTATTTTTCAAAAACTCTGATTTTAAAAGTAATTTTTTTTGTACAAAGTTTGGAAGCTTAAAAAATATAGAAGCAAAAATATTTACAACTTAACTACCCAAAAGTGACTGCTATGCCATTTTGGGATATTTCCTTCCAGTCATTTTTTCTATGTAGTTTTAATATGACGGAGTTTATGACTTGCCTCATTCCTTTAGCCTTGTGGATCACATTTCTTTTCTAAAAAAGTACTAACTGATGAAATGCTTCTTTGAATTGAAGGACAGAAGCACTGGCTATTTTACATTTTAAATAGCAAATTTGATAAAGGGAAAAAATTTTAATTTGCATTTATTTGATTAGTAGTAGGGGGTAAACTGATTTTGGTGTTGATTAGCTCTTTAGATCTTTTGTTGATTACTTATTCATGTTCTTAAGCTATTTATATATATCGGTCTTTTAAAAATGGATTTGAATGATTTCTTTTTGTGTATCATGTTGATTCCTTATCAGGTCAATACTCTTTTCAGGTAGATTAATTCATAAATACACACTGATTTCCTCAGGAAAGTTAGGTTTAATATTTTTCCTTTTCTTATTTGAAGCATTGTTTCTAATGCATTTTAATGGCACAGATGTTTGCCATATTCTTGGTTCTTAGCGTTACTAGCTAGTTGGTGTTTTTGCTGCAGTAAGGCCTTTTGTGAAGTTCAGTATTTATGGCCTATTTCATAGGTGACAATGCTCGATCCCAGGTTTTGAGAGAGAAAATTATTGAATTGGAAACAGAAATAGAAAAGTTTAAAGCCGAGAACGCATCTTTAGCTAAACTTCGCATTGAACGAGAAAGTGCCTTGGAAAAACTCAGGTACGTTTGGGTCTGTAAGTTGGGAAAAAATACTCAGTGATTCAGTTATACCTTTAAGACCATCTGTAAACAGTCTGAAACATTTTAAATCAATCCAGCAAATGTAACTGAAAAGGAGGCGAAATCTGTTATCATATACGTTTTTTTACTGAATAAAATGACCCAGTGTAGTCAATGATGTGTACGAAGGGGAATTTTCTTAGTGGAGAGAGCATATATTAAAATTTGAAAAGCAGTTTGGAGCTGTGGTACCTTCCCTAGTTAGTGTGTTGGTTTCTCTGGGCTGCTGTAACAAAGTACTCCCACCTAGGTGGTTTTAAACAACAGAAATGTATTTTCCTGTGGTTCTGGAGGCTGTAAGTCCAAAGTCCATGCAGCAGCCAGGCGGGCCGTGCTGGCTCGTCCAGCTCCTGGTGGTTTGGGGCACTCCTTGGTATTTCTTGGATTGCGGCTACATCACGCCAGTCTCCGCCTCTGGTCACACAGCCGTCTTCCCTCTGTCCGTGTCTTCACATGGCATTCCCGTCGGTGTGTGTGTCTGTCTTGGTGCCTCTTTTAAGGATAGGGTCATACTGGATTAAGGGCCCACCCTACTCCAGTATAACCTCATCTTAACTGGCATCTTACTTATATCTCCAAAGGCCCTATTTCCAATAAGGTCACCTTCACAGGGATTAGGACTTCAACATATTATTTTCGAGGACACAGCTCCACCTACAGCAGTCAATAGTAGGACATATCGTTTCCTACCCTAGGTCATGATCTCACCCGACCTTATTGGTTAGCGAAACTTGAACTGAACTTACGTGAGACTATTTATATATATTTATTATTTCTATTACATATATACATTTTATGTAGGCATTTTTAAATTGTACTTGTGAATAGTACTAAGTTCTATTGCAGAAACACCAATACTTTTTATTCCAGATGTTGCTCTGGGTCTTGTTGGGGATATTATATGTCACATGCACACTGTATTTCTTTGTTTTTTGGTTTTGTTACTTTAACGTTTGAGGAGAAATTCATTCAACTGTAGTTCCCATGGCTGCCTGCTGCGGGATTGGATCTAGGAGATGGTAGCCGCTATGCAAATGCTGACATTCGCCCAGATTTCCCAGCCTCTTTCTTCTTTAGCACTCGCCAGGACGCTGCAGGGCTTTCGTTAGTGTCCAGAGTTCCCAAGCGGTTGGTTCTCACAGGTGCTGCTAGTTCAATAGCGGCTTTGGTGGAGGGAGTGATTCTTGGAGCTTCCTACTCCACCGTCTTCCTTGACATCTCTTCCGTGTTTCTTCTCTAAAAACCTGAAAAATAGGAATTCCAAAGCACACCTGGCCCATAAGTTCCAGATAAAGGGTTATAGAGAGCTATTAATCCACTTAAAAAGGAAATTCAGTTACTATACTGTATTCTGCACTATGCTTAAAAATCAAATTCTGAAAATTTATTATTTTTTAATTGAAACATCTTTGTTTTTCTGCTGATACATACTGTAAATATATACTTATTATAGTAGTGATGGGTAAAACGTGGAACTTATTCCAATCCCTTCTCCACCCAAGATGACTTTTAAATAAATGTCTCTACTTTGGGAGGCCGAGACGGGCGGATCACGAGGTCAGGAGATCGAGACCACCCTGGCTAACACGGTGAAACCCCGTCTCTACTAAAAAAATACAAAAAACTAGCCGGGTGAGGCGGCGGGCGCCTGTAGTCCCAGCTACTCGGGAGGCTGAGGCAGGAGAATGGTGTGAACCCAGGAGGCGGAGCTTGCAGTGAGCTGAGATCCGGCCACTGCACTCCAGCCTGGGCGACGGAGCGAGACTCTGTCTCAAAAAAAAAAAACAAAAAAAGTCTCTACTTCATTATTTCAAAATGGACCTTTTTCTTTTAAAGAACATTTAAATCATAAGATAATGGCTGGGTTTTTTTGTTTTTTTGTGTGTTTTTTTTTTAAGCATTTTGCCTATGTCAGTTTTGCTTTGTTCCAAGAAAAATTCAGTCCTCAAATTTAGACATTGTGTTATTCTTCCCAACTTACAGACGAAGAAACTGACGCACTGAGAAGAAAGTTTTTTAAGTTTACCTCCTTAGTGACAGAGCCTCAGTGGCAGCCTAGGCAGTGCGGTTCAGCAGAGCCCTGGACTCTGCTGTATGGGGTCTTTAATCTGCTTTTTATTTTATTTTTATTTTTTTGAGACAGCATCTGGCTTTGTCACCCAAATTGGAGTGCAGTGGTACAATCTTGGCTCACTGCAACCTCTGCCTCCTGGGCTCAACCCATCCTCCACCTCAGCCTCCTGACAGGCATGCGCCACCACCCCCAGATAATTTTTGTATTTTTTTAGGTACGGAGTTTTGCCATGTTCCCCAGGCTGGTCTTGAACTCCTGGGCTCAAGTGATCCTCCCGCCTTGGGCTCCTAAATTTCTGAGATTACAGGCATGAGCCACCATGTCCAGCCCTGCTTTTTATTTTAACAACGTAATAGACATCTTACCCTATTAGCACACCCTAGTCTTCTATATCCTTGAAATGACTGTATTGTATTAATGCTACTGTGACTAATCTGTTAGTGGAAATTTAGCTTGTTTAGAATTTTTCACTATTACAAATCATTCTGTGGGGAATATCATCGTATGTATGAGGCACTTTCTATTTAAAAATATACTTCCTTGTGATAAATTTTTAGAATGTCTGTTGCCCCAGTCAGCATCTGAGGCTTCTTCTCACCCCTTTCCCCATCACTGGAGTTGAGCGTTAGCAGTCTTTCACATCTTGCCAACCTGGTAATTATACCATTTTTCACCTGCTGAAGTTTGCATTTCTTTAATTATTGATAAAGTTGAGCATGCTTTAATATTTAGCGGTCATTTGTGTTTATTTCGTAACTTTCTTTGTGACCTTTGCTCATTTTTCAGGATACTAAACTTTCTCAAATGTGCCACAAGTATTCCTCCCCCAGTGTTTGCTTTGACTGTATGATTGTGTGCACACTGTCGACCTTTTGCATATTTAGTCAGTAAGAGTATCTTATCTGTCTGCTGTCCCTCCAGTGAGGCAGGGAGGGACTTGTCCAGTGTCGAGGCTTTAAATGCTGTTATGCCCCAGATCCAGATCTCTCACCCACATCTCCTATCCCACTGCCTCATTGTTGTCTCTACCTGGAGAGCTGATGAATGTTTAAATTGATCATTTAGAAAAAGTGAGCTCCTGACGTTCCCTCCTGAACTTACTTTTCTCTTCTTCTTCCCTGTCTCGGCATGAGAGTCTGCTCTTCATTTGGCCAGTGGAAAATCTTGGAGTCGTGCTTGAGTCTTCTCTTGCTCTCTCAGTCCGTTTCTAACCCGACTGCTTCACTGCCTCAGAGCTGCCACTCTCGACCAGGGCCCCATTGGCTTTCCCTGGTTATTAAAATCGTTTCCTAGTAGGTCTCTCTGCTGCCCATGTCTGTGCTCTTCACACACATCCATAGCCATCCTGTGTTTGGGTAGTTCATCTGATCAAGGCCACCTCCTTTTTTTTTTGGAGATGTAGTTTCACTCTTGTTGCCCAGGCTGGAGTGCAATGGCGTGAGCTCGGCTCACTGCAACCTCCACCTCCCAGGTTCAAGCGATTCTCCTGCCTCAGCCTCTTGAGTAGCTGGGATTACAGGCATGCACCACCATGCCCAGCTAATCTTGTATTTTCAGGAGAGACGGGGGTTTCTCCATGTTGGTCAGGCTGGTCTCGAACTGACCTCAGGTCCAGCTGCTGACCTGATCTGCCCACCTCGGCCTCCCAAAGTGCTGGGATTACAGGAGTGAGCCACCGTGCCTGGGCTGTCTCCTTTTTTGACACCTTCTCCTGCTACCCATCCTTTGCTCACTCTGTTTTAGCCACACTGGCCTCCTGGCTGTTCTTTGAACACCTCAGCCACATTCCTGCCTCAGGGCTTTGGCACTTGCCGCACCCTCTGCCTGCACTGCTGTGTGTGGACACCCTTGTGACCGCCTCTCTCATTCTCTTCAGGTTTCCTTCATGTTATCTCAGCAAGAGAACCCCTCATGTTATCTCAGCAGGATAACCCTCACATGCAGTTTCACCCTCCCATTCTGATATTTCCTAAACTTCTGCCTTGCTTTATTTCTCTTTAATGCTTCTAATATTCCATGTACTTACTTACCTTCTTTATTATCATCTGTCTTCCTTTAGAATGTAAGAAGCTGCATGGGAATAATTTTTTTTTTTTTTTTTGAGACAGAGTCTCTCTCTGTTGCCCAGGCGATCACAGCTCACTGCAACCTTGAATTCCTGGACTCAGGCCTGCCTCAGCCTCCCAGTTTTGGGATTACAGGCATAAACCACTGTGCCAGCTAGAATGTTTGTTTTTTTCCCTGTGGTTTCCTCACCACCTTGTAGAATGCCTGATTCATCGTAGGCACCCAGTGAATGCTTGTTGGACGAATGCTTTGGTGAGTGGATTGGCTGTTATTTCAGGCCTCTGGATTGAAGATGAATTCACCGGGACTAGCAGTTACTAGCCTGTCAGCAGGTCCTGCACATCACCGCACCAAGATGGTCTCCTTAGGTGATAACATAATTTGGTCATTTTAGGAAAGAAATTGCAGACTTTGAACAACAGAAAGCAAAAGAATTAGCTCGAATAGAAGAGTTTAAAAAGGAGGAAATGAGGAAGCTACAAAAGGAACGTAAAGTTTTTGAAAAGTATTCTACAGCTGCAAGAACTTTTCCAGATAAAAAGGAACGTGAAGAAATACAGGTATGCTAGCTCTTTGTTATATTCATGTAAGTTAGTAAAGGTGACAATCTTGTAAGAATCTCAGTTATTTCTTATGTCATAGCAAACCTGTATCAATCCATCATTCATTCAGCGAATAATCTGTCTGAGACAGTGCATCAGGAATGTCTTCTGTAGTCTTGAGTTTTAAAGAGTAGAAGATAACAGTTCTTTTCTTACTAGTAAAGGCTTCCTAGAAAAGACCGTGATAATATCATAGATGAATTAACAAGCCTGGAGCTGGAAATTCACCGGCATAATGTTGTGTTAATCTTTTTGACCTACCACATACCACCAAATACTGTTAGTTCTGTTCATTTATCATAATTTACGACCGTAAATAACCAGGTCTTTAATTCTAAAACTTATAAACTGATAGGCCAGATTATCAGTCCTGTTCATTTCATAGTTAGAAATGGACATGTTAAAACTATAAACCTTCTAGAAAAAAATAGGTGAATCTACTTACAACATTGGCATATGCGAAGATTTCTAAGAGAAGACACAACTATAAAAGAAACAATGAATATATTGGACTTCATCAAAGTTAAGACTTATCAAAAGAGAAATTTTAAATGGCTATCCATTGCTTCTAGCATAAAATGGAAACTCCACTGTCTGTATTTTAATTACTAGCATTTCTGAGTTCCTTCCTTTGCTTTCTTCCTGTCTCGTGTAGCCATCCTGGTCTGCACACCTACACCTTGAGTTATTGAACAGCACGGTGCTCAGGGTCTTTAATTCTCTCTTAATTTTTGTGGGAAGAAACGTACTATTATGTTTTGGTTAATACTTAGTTTATTAACTCTAATATGTTAGATGTTGGCAATATTAAAACTTTTGTTTCAAAAGGTAATATAAGTATATTATCATTCAAAAGTTACAAAAAGATGTGTGGTGAAATTTCCCCCTCACCCCTGCCCTGGCCACCTGTTCAGTTGTTTTTTGAAAACAATTTTTTATTATGGAAAATTTCAAAAATACATAAAGGTATCATTTTGTCTTTCTAATTTCATCTCTCTCGCCTCGTACTCTTTTTTTTGCTTTTTAATCTGGAATTTAAAAAGTGAAATCCCAGACATCTGCTCATTTCACCTATACATAGTCTAGTATGTTTCTCTGAGAAAGACACCTTTAAAAAAATAAGACTATTGACTGGGGGCGGTGGCTCACTCCTATAATCCCAGCACTTTGGGAGCCGAGGCAGGCAGATGACTTGAGGTCAGGAGTTTGAGACCAGCCTGGCCAGCATGGCAAATCTCCATCTCTACGAAAAATACAAAAAAATTAGGTGTGGTGGTGCGCCTGTAGTCCCAGGTACGTGGGAGGCTGAGGCAGGAGAACCACTTGAACCCAGGAGGAGGAGGTTGCAGTGAGCCAAGATCATGCTCCTGCACTCCAGCCTGGGTGACAGAGTGAGACTCCGTCCACTGAGCGGGGTGGGGGGAATTATACCTTTGTCACACCTATAACAAAATTTATAGTATCAATGAATTCTTAGTCCATATTCAGATTTTCCAGTTGCTTGGTATCTTTACAGTTGGTTTGTTTGCATTGTAATTCACCTTTCTTGAGGCAGCCAGTGTTATCAATCTCATATCTTTCCAGAGAAATTCTTAGAAAGTACATACATATATTCGTGGTGTTTTTTTTAAAACATTAATGATAGTCTACTGAAATCATGATGTATCTTAACAGAACATCTTTATTTGTTTTATTATTGTATTGAATTGTAGTATGTGCCATAATTTACTCACCTAAGCACTATGTATTTCTGTTCTTTTTCTGTTTACAAGAATCCAAGAAGGGCTGTACTGAATAACTTTGTGCATATATGACCTCTCACAATCATTCTCCCACTTATTCATTCAGCACATGGCTACTGAGGACCTGCTGTGTAGCAGGCATGTACTGGGAATGCAGCAGTGAACAAAACCAATCAATCCCTGTCCTCATGTAGCTTATGTCCTGGAGTATATCTCTAGGATGGATTCCTACAAGTGAGGTGTTGAGGTTAAAGGTATGTACATTGATACAAATTGCCAGATTATCCCTCCATAAACATCATGCCAAATTTTAGTTCAGTTTTATTTTTTATTTTTATTTTTTGAAACACTTCATAGCCCAGACTGGAGTGCAGGGGCTAAATTTCAGCTCACTGCAACTTCCATCTCCCAGGTTCAAGCGATTCTCCTGCCTCAGCCCCTCAAGTAGCTGGGATTATAGGTGCCCACCACCATGGCTGGCTAATTAATTTTTAGTTTTACTAGCAATTCTTAGAGGGTTTTTTGTTCTCTGCTTGATAGGTAAGAGGTTAAAAATTGATATTAAACTTAATTGAATTTCTTTTAAACAATCTGAATTATAGTTACAAATTTAATATGGCTGTTTTTGGTGAACAAGCCATATACTTGAAACAGTAGTTATAACAAATTCTGCTCTCAGAAAACTTAACTGAATTAAAAACCATAGCCTATTCTACAATACATGATGGGTTTGTCATTTCATTTTTCTTTCTGGATCTCCTAGAATTAGAGATATTTTAAATACCTTGCTGTGTTATGAAAATCTTACCAGATCCGAAGGGAAAAAATAAGTAACCTCCTTAGATCACTGATCCAAGGTGATGAGATAGATTGTTTTCCTTCTCCTGTTTCTCATACCTCTGATCCTGACTGCTTCTTTCAAGGTGATTCAAACCAGAGCAAACACTTCTTTTTGTTGTTGTACTTTGTTAGGTGAATAACGTGGGTTTTCTCTTTTTTTTTTTTTTGAGACGGAGTCTCGCACTGTCACCCAGGCTGGCGTGCAGTGGCCCGATCTCAGCTCACTGCAAGCTCCGCCTCCCGGGTTCCCGCCATTCTTCTGCCTCAGCCTCCCGAGTAGCTGGGACTACAGGTGCCCGCCCCCTCACCTGGCTAGTTTTTTTGTATTTTTTAGTAGAGACAGGGTTTCACCATGTTAGCCAGGATGGTCTCGATCTCCTGACCTCGTGATCCCCCCGTCTCGGCCTCCCAAAGTGCTGGGATTACAGGCTTGAGCCACTGCGCCCGGCCGTGAGTATTCTTTTCTTGCAACTTGGTGCCTTTCCCTCACACGACGTGTTCTCTGATTCTCAGGCTCTGCAGTCCAGGCTGCTAGCTCTTATCCCTGTGTGGCTATTTCCATTTAAATTAATTAGAGGTAAATTGAAAAGTCAGCTTCTCATTCCCATTAGCTACATTTCCAGGACTTAGTAGCCACCTGTGGCTGGCTGGTGGCTGCCACACCGCACCGTGCAGGACTGGGCACATCCTCACTGCTGGCAGCTCTGGGCTGTGCCCATCAGTGGGCTTGTTGGGTGATGAGGGGCTGGGCTGGTGAGTTGCCTTCCCTCTTCAGGAACTCATTCTTGAGCTCGCCTTTGTTGGTTTATATGATTTCTGGTGTTGATTGAAGTTTTGGAACCAGTTCATACTGGTTATCATGTGTGGTCCTGGGTATTCATTATTTCTTGCTGGTTTTGGTGCAGTTCCTTTTCTTCCTTACACGGTTTGGCTTATTCATAGCTCCCCATATTTACCTTTCTCTCTACTTCTGTGCAAAAATATACTTTAAAAACAGATATATACTTCATAGAAAAACAAACCTATGTTTTTTGATACTCTATTAAATCATCCCAAAATTAAGGGGAGGGCATATTTAACCTTCCTTTACATTACAGTTATGTTAAAAAATATTATTTTATTTTGGGTATTCTTTCAGTACATTTAAAGAGAACCCCTTATGTACTAGACACTTGTAATCATTGAGGAATTGATGATGAGTTAGCCATTTCTGCCTTCCTGGCATTTACATTCATCGTTACTGAGTCATAGCTTTTCACACAGGTTATTTTAATTAATTATAAATTTTCCATTTTGATATTTAAGTGGTCCCAACTTGACCAGTGGGGGAGCCCCTTTAAATCCATGGCTCCCTTGCCACTTAGCGCTGCCCTTGGCGTTTTGAGAGCACTGCTTTCTGGAACAACGGGTTATTTAAGACTATTTGGTTTTGGCTTTCTTTCTTTCCTTTTTCTTTTTCTTTTCTTTTTTTTTTTTGAAACAGTCTCGCTGTGTCACCCAGGGTGGAATGCAGCGGCGCTATCTCGGCTCACTGCAAGCTCTGCCTCCTGGGTTCACGACATTCTCCTGCCTCAGCCTCTTGAGTAGCTGGGAATACCGGCGCGTGCGTGCGTGTGTGTGTGTGCGTGTGTGTGTGCGCGCGCGCCGCGCCCGGCTAATTGTGTGTGTGTTTGTGTGTTTAGTAGAGACAGGGTTTCATGTCAGCCAGGGGGTGTGTGTGTGTGTGTGTGCCGCACCCAGCTCTGTGCGTATGTGCGCCGCGCCCGGCTAATTGTGTGTGTGTGTGTGTGTGTGTGTGTGTGTGTGTGTTTAGTAGAGACAGGGTTTCATCGTGTCAGCCAGGGGTGTGTGTCTGTTGTGTGTGTGTGTGTGTGTGTGTGTGTGCGCCGCGCCTGGCTAATTGTGTGTGTGTGTGTGTTTAGTAGAGACGGGGTTTCATCATGTCAGCCAGGATGGTCTCCATCTCCTGACCTCGTGATCCGCCCGTCTTGGCCTCCCGAAGTGCTGGGATTACAGGCTTGAGCCACCGCGCCCGGCCTTGGCTTTCTTTTTTAAACCTGCTCTGGTCTGGCATCCGCTGCGCTGCAGGAGCCGGGCCGCTCTGCGTGTAGAGCCTGTGGAGGCTGACAGCCTTCTGCAGGTCGGGAGTCCCCTGAGTCTTCCCTGCCTTGGCTCCTGCCCTTTCTTCCCGTTTTCACAGCGCAGGCTCTCAGCTGTGCTCACCGGGGCCTGGCCAGCAGGACGTGGAGCCGCTGCAGGGTGTGATGACGCTGGGGGACCTCGAGATTTCCCGGCCACGCCTCGGAGCTTTCGCGCTGTGCTGGAAGTCTGCTCCCCAGCCGCGGATCCCCCCCGCCAGCCAGGCCTACTGGCTTCACCCCACAGGTCGTTTCCTGCTGCCCCTTTCTCCTCCCGGCTCGTCTCCCATCTGTCTGGGTCTGGACCCTCACCAGTCCCCCAGCCTAGGGGCTCCCTTCTCTTCCTCTCCCCCTCCCCAGGGTCTCCGCCCGCTGGCTGCGGCCTCTCCCTCCCTCTGCACCCCGAGGGCGTCTCATCCTCCACCCAGTCCATCCCCGTGTCCAGCCCACGGAGCCCACTCTCCGCCTCCACCTTCTGTCTCCACCACGCGTTCTCCCCAGCCTTCCTGTCTTTACTGCCTGCTGGCGTTTCTTCAAACAAGTCACCCAACCCCGCAGCCCTCTCTGTGTTTTCCTTTGCAGCAAAACTTAAAAGCCTTGCCCGTATTCACTGTGCCTGGATCTCCAGACGTCACCAGCTGTTTTGCCACACGCCCTGCGGCATGGCCTCTGGTCATTCTATGGCACTGACACGGCCCCTGGCGAGTCCTTGTGCCCACCCGGACCACGAACCCCAGGCCTCGTCAGCAGCCGTCTGCCGGTGTCCATCCTGCTGCCATCCTCCCCTGTGCTTGGGCCAGAGGCCTCGAATCATTCTCGAGGCTTCTCTTGCTCTTCCACTCCATGCTGTTCTGACAGAAAGTCCACTCAGATTCCAGTTGCCACCTCTGGGTTAATGACTTGGCCTCTGCTCTCACCCAGTCCCTGTGGCGTCGCTCCAGGTGACAGCGGATCCCCTCTGCTCAGACACCTCCGTGTGCCTCTGCCTGCCTTCCTCTAAGACCCTCAGTCCCTATGTGATTGGGCCTCTTTCCCCTTCCTGTCCCTGGCCAGTCCTCCTGCCATTGACTTGTCACCTGTGCTGGTCCCTTGCAGTGCTGGCATAGTGCCAGGCACCCTCCTGTTGCTTCCCACACGCGCTGCCTCCCCCAGCTATGTTCAGTGACACCCAGCTTATGTCATGCTGCCTCCCCGCACAGCCCTGTCACCTCACCTTCTCTGGCTACTCTCCTGTCACCCCCTCACCTGCCCCGGCCACCCTCCCACTCTCTCCCATCACCCCCTCACCTGCCCCGGCCACCCTCCCACTCTCCCGTCACCCCCTCACCTGCCCCGGCCACCCTCCCACTCTCCCGTCACCCCCTCACCTGCCCCGGCCACCCTCCCACTCTCCCGTCACCCCCTCACCTGCCCCGGCCACCCTCCCACTCTCCCGTCACCCCCTCACCTGCCCCGGCCACCCTCCCACTCTGTCCCATCACCCCTCACCTGCCCCGGCCACCCTCCCATCACCCTCCCGTCACCCCCTGACCTGCCCTGGCCACCCTCCCACTCTCCCGTCACCCCCTCACCTGCCCGGCCACCCTCCCACTCTCCCGTCACCCCTCACCTGCCCCGGCCACCCTCCCACTCTCCCGTCACCCCCTCACCTGCCCCGGCCACCCTCCCACTCTCCCGTCACCCCCTCACCTGCCCCGGCCACCCTCCCACTCTCCCGTCACCCCCTCACCTGCCCCGGCCACCCTCCCACTCTCCCGTCACCCCCTCACCTGCCCCGGCCACCCTCCCACTCTCCCGTCACCCCCTCACCTGCCCCGGCCACCCTCCCACTCTCCCGTCACCCCCTCACCTGCCCCGGCCACCCTCCCACTCTCCCGTCACCCCCTCACCTGCCCCGGCCACTCTCCCACTCTCCCGTCACCCCCTCACCTGCCCCGGCCACCTTCCCACATTTTCCCGTCACCCCCTCACCTGCCCCGGCCACCCTCCCACTCTCCCGTCACCCCCTCACCTGCCCCGGCCACCCTCCCACTCTCCCGTCACCCCCTCACCTGCCCCGGCCACTCTCCTACTCTCTCCCGTCACCCCCTCACCCGCCCCAGCCACCCTCCCACTCTCCCGTCACCCCCTCACCCGCCCCAGCCACCTTCCCACCTTCCTGTCACCCCCTCACCTGCCCCATCCACCCTCCCACTCTCCCGTCACCCCCTCACCTGCCCCGGCCACCCTCCCACTCTCCCGTCACCCCCTCACCTGCCCCGGCCACCCTCCCATCACCCTCCCACTGTCTCTGGCAGAGTGAGCCTCATCAGATAGAGCTTTGTTCTTAGTATTGCAAGGGCCTGTGACAGTGCCTGATAACAGATATTTTGTAAATATTAATTGCTCTTGAATTCTGCATCCATTTAGACTTATATTTTACCATTTTAGTATGAAATCCATCTTCCTGCATGATAAAAATGCTTACCAGAAAGTTTTCATTTATTGGTCAGAATCCGTCTCACAAATGGGAAACCTGATGTTCATGGAGGTTGTGGACCTTGTTTTAAGCTTTCAAGTCAGAAAACTCGGACGTGAACCTTGATGTCACCCAATCCAAAGTCCATGCCCTCTATGGTGGGGCCCGGATGTCCTCCCTATCCTCACCAGGCCGCCGGGTGGCTGCCGCAGGGGTTACTGGGTGCAGGTCATGGGCCGGGCCACGCCCGCTGCCTCGCCACTCATGGGCTTCGGTGCCCTACTCCTTCCTTGGCTTGCAGTCAGTCGCTTTCACTTGCAGCTGCACGTGATCTCGAATTGCTTTTAGACATTTCCCCTTATTTTAGTCTCTCTAAAACAACCAATTTTTTGGAAATTTATTTCTTCTCATGAATTTCAGATAGTTTTCAGGGCAGGTAGTTTTGACTTTGGAATCTTTTATTCTTTAGCTCTACTCTTCCTTCACTTATTCATGAGTTCCTGTTGCATTTCTTCTTTTCCGGATCTCCCCCATGGATCCCTTTCGGTTAATAGCTCAGGTGAGGTCTTTCCTAGGTCATGGCAGTTTTCTGCTGTTAGCTCCCATATGCTGTCTGCCTTCCTTTCTCCTGGCTTCTGGAATTAGGTTTGCTGATGGTCTGTGGTGAGACTCTGATCCCCTCCTCTCGCTGCTGAAAACCGCAGTGGTCTTAGAATGTCGTCTGCTGACTAAGCCTTCCCTTTCTGGCTGGCTATTCTGTTTCATTGCTGGGTGTCTATTTTGTTGTCTTAATTCTGGTAATGTAGTAATGTTTTTTGTTTTTTGTTTTTGTTTTTGTTTTTGTTTTTTTGAGAGACTTTAAAACAGCAAATAGCAGATTTACGGGAAGATTTGAAAAGAAAGGAAACCAAATGGTCAAGTACACACGGCCGTCTCAGAAGCCAAATAGAAATGTTAGTCAGAGAGAACACAGACCTCAGGGAAGAAATAAAAGTGATGGAAAGATTCCGACTGGATGCCTGGAAAAGAGCAGAAGCCGTAGAGCGCAGCCTTGAGGTGGAGAAGAAGGACAAGCTCGCGGTAGGCGGGGAGGCCAGTGGGTTGTGTCAGGCCGGGGGAGCTTCAGTATCTGAGCGTTCAAATTCATAGAGTCAGAAAGTAGAATGGGGCTGCCAGGGGCTGGGGGCAGTGGGGAGGGACTGTGAACATGGATAGTTTCCGTCTTGTAAGATGAAAAGTGTCCTGGAGCTGGAGGGAGGGCGATGGTTGCAGTATACCCCAGAGATCCTTAATGCCACTGAAGTGTGCACCTAAACATGCCGAAGACGGTGAATTTTATGTGATACCTATTTTACCACAACTAAAAAGATTGTCCAAGCGTTGCTATACACGGGTACTTGGCAGACTCATTTCTCTAATTCCTGTGGAGGAGGTTTGCTACAGTAGGCAGATCATCTCTGTTAAAACAAACCAGGGGAGATTTTGGCCGAGAGTTGCACGCATATGACCCTTTTTAATCAAGTAATTGGTCTTTCATTCATCTTTGTGAACAACCAGGGTGTGCCAGGCACTGCGTTAGGTGCTTGGGGTACAGCAGTGAACAGACAAAATTCCTTACCCTTATGAAGCTTACATTCCAGTGGTGGAAGAAAGACTGTAATAAGTCAAATAATAAAACGTGTGGTGTGTGAGATGGTGATGAGACCAGGAGAAGCAGGGCGGTGGAGTGGCGTCACCATCTGGGTGGGACGGCCTGGGAAGCGCATGTGAGGAGTGGCTGGGTGGCCGCCTGAGCCTGCAGAGGAGCCCCAGGCTGTAGCCGCGCCTGAGTGGGCCTGGGACGGGGCAATCGGAGTATGGGCGAGGAGCGGTGGGCCAGCCCTTGGGGTGGGATGGGACAGTGGGCGGTGGATGGGAGTCCTAACAGATGGCAGCATGCACCTGGGCATTTTTTGAGTGAGGGGGAGTCTGGAGGGCTCTGAATAAACGGTGGCCAGGCCTCTTTACCTCTGACTGCTGTAGACCAGGAACAGGTGGAAGGGAGCGTGGGCAACAGCAGGCACGCGGTAGGGCTCGGGGGACCGGGTGGCGGTGGCGGGTGGAGAGAAGCAGTCGTGTTTGTCGTTGAGCTGTGTGTGTGGTTGGTGGTGACATCAAGGAAGGAGTCAGGAATGGCCTCAACTTAGTTTTGTGTGTTGGTCTCACGAAGGTGCCACTGACTAGGAGCAACTGCAAGAAGGGAGCACATGGCCACCAGGAACTCAGGCTTGGACAGGGGACATTGAAATGCCTACAAGACACACGGGAGATCCGACTAGGCAGCTGCACACGGCAGCACAGGCTCCGGTTGGGGACAGACACCCGGGGTCATCCGATGTGTGATAACAGCACGGGGCAGGGAGAGGCAGCAGGGCTGTGAGTAGGCAGGGAGGCGTGGGTGAGCAGCCAGAGAGCAGGAGCCAGGAGGCCGTGTGGTGTCCTGAGAACAAGTGAAGAAAAGGCTGCAAGGAGGAGAGTGGCCGCCTGTGTCGGGTGTGGCAGCAGCTCAGAGGACTGAAACCGGCCGTGGGGTTTACCAGGTGGGAGGAACTGTGGGCCTTGAGAAGGTCTGTTTCCCTGGAGTGTTGAAGAGGAAAGCCTGATTGGCTGGGAGCAGATAACAGCTTTGTAGTTTTGCAGTAAATTAAGGACATGAGGGTAGTGGCCATAGGGAAAATGTTTTGTTTTTAAGATGGTAAAATTAACAGGTGTTTGTGTAGTGGTTGGACTGATTCAGTGGAGAGGAAGATATCGATGCAGGAGGAAGTGGAAGAATTGCAGAAGCACCACACTTGGCGAAGTGAGAGGAGCTGGGTCCAGGCAGGGAGTGGAGGGCAGGCTGTGGCCAGGCAATGGCCTTCATGCCCAGAGGCGGGAGGTGCAGGCACAGCCTGGGCTTCTGTGAGGGCGGAGGTGGCAGGAGGGGAGGAGATACAGAAAGCCAGAGGTCATCTGTGTGAACAAAAGCAGAGGCTGGGGTAATAGAGTGATTCGTGGCTGTACCTGGGCCCACCTGGGTCAGAGACTGAAATTTTAAAACGAGAATTGCACGTATGTTGTTCTTAGCTTGTGGTCATCCAAGTGAATGCCACCAAGTGAGCAGAGGGAGGGAAGCTAACAGTGTGTGTGACAAGAGTGCCTGCTGCGGAGCATACTTTAGCTGCAAGAGGACAGTGTGGGCCCGGAGGCTTTCAGGACATGGCAAGCACTGGGGGTCGAGGACCCGCAGGGCCATGTCTGTCGGCTGTGAGCGTGGTCAGGGCCCGGGAATTAACAGAATGAGCTGCAAAGACGGGAGAGTAGTGAGAAAGTAGCATTCTGCTCCTCGCCGCCCCCTACCTTTTAGTGTGAAAGCTTCCCAAAATAGAGAATAGGGGAAAGAATGTGCAGTTAACACCTGGGTACCCACTTGGATTCAACCACTAGGAACATTTTGCCATAGTTCTGCCTGTTTCACTGAACCATTTGAAGGTAGTTGTAGGAATCATGGCATCTCACCCCTAAATGCTTTAGCATTTTATTAAATTGCATTAACTTTTGAAGAGACCAGGCTGATTATTTTCTAGAATGCCCCACCTTCTGGATTTTTGTTAAGTAGAATGCCTTGAAATTAATAATTTTGTGGTTATTGATAATTGCAGACGTTGATAGTATTGATAATAACAAGTTCTAGGGTTGACCACTGAGGTAGGACACCAAGAAGGACAGCACTGGAAGCATCATCTCCTGGCAGGCAGGGACCTGGTGGGGGCTGGGGCAAGTAGTATTGGGGCTTGATTTGGCCAGAAATGGAGGTGGGATGCAGAGAGGACTCACCCCACCTCATCCTCACAGGGAGTGCTCGTGGTGGTCTCGGGGAGAGCTGGGCTCAGCTGGACTGTCCTGGGGGGAGTGTGAGTGGGGAGCACCCTGCTCTGTAATGGTGAGAAGAGATGGTTCAGGTTACCTTGCCTGCTGTGTCCTCACTTGAATGTTTGTCAAAAGGAGCGTGCGTGTGCGGGCGCGTGTAGGGATTCCTAAATAACAGCTTGTTTTGGTCTATTGTATAAATGAAAATAATATGAATAAACAAAACCCACGGCGTTCTCATCGCTAGCTGAGTTTTATTAGTCTCACTTAGTGTATTAATAGACTAACACTCATTTTAAATAAAAAATTCTCTTATGCTATAGAACACATCTGTTCGATTTCAAAACAATCAGATTTCTTCAGGAACCCAGGTAGAAAAATACAAGAAAAATTATCTTCCAATGCAAGGTAAGAGGCTGCATGATCTTTTTACAAAACATTTCAGAATGTAAAGAATAAAGAGTTTATACCCAACTTAATAAAACATTGTAAATGTAATTGAAGCTCCTCTGCGCATCATCTTATTCCCCCAGTTAATTTCTGCCCTGATAATGGCCCATGCTTATTTTTTTAAAATTCTTTTACCATGTTGTGTTCATAAATTGATATACTGGTTTAGCATCCCAAATCTGAAACTTTCTGAAGGCAAGAATGATGCTCAAAGGAAACATTCATTGTAGCATTCTGAATGTGGATTAGGGATGCTCAACCAGTAAGTATTTGCAAATATTTCAAAACTTGGGGAAAAAAATGGAGATCTGCAACACTGTTCGCAAGCATTTTGGGTAAGGGACACTCAAGCTTGTGGTATTGTTTCATATTCTGTGTGTCCTTCTGCAATTTTTCTCTCAATACCGTATGACTTACCCATCTTCACACACAAACCCTCCAGTGGATTGATTTTAGTAGCTATAGAGATGGCGTCAGCATTCCTGCTGAGGGGCAGGTAGGTTTGATGCTAATGAGGAGGGCTGCAGAGCGTGTCTTGATCCTGTGGCTTCTCTAGGATACATGTGAAGAGGAAGATGCCGGGCCGTGTCAGCTGGAGGTTTTCCCTTTGCTCTGCACCATGGTGGTACCAGTTTTTTACTGTCAGCAGAGTATGCTCTTCATACTTGCACTTGATCTGGCCAGACTTCAAAATTCTGGCCAGTTGATATAAAATGATGGTTCATTCCGTGAGCTGGTAAGGCCCTGTGAGCATTTTTTACATTCAGTCAGCATTTGAGGTTCCCCTTTTGTGAACTGCCTGTGCCTTTGTCCATTTAAAATTTTGGATGTGTGTGTGTGTGTGTGTTTTCTCCTTATAATTATTCTGCATACTAATCCTTTGTCAGTTACAAGGACTGCTAATATTTTCTCTCAATCTGGGTTCAGTTTTTCAGTTTGTGTTTTTTAACGTTTTTCCTTGTAATGTTGACTTTACCAGTCTTTTAAAATAGGTTTTGGTTTTCATGACTTTAATTCTTCTCAATCCTCAGGCCGTAAGTACACCATTTTCTTCTGTGCGCTTTTGCATTCACATCTGAGTTTTTAATCTGGAATTTCAAAAAATTATTTTCGTGAAATAAATTTAGAAAAGATATATGCAATTTGACAATTACAAAGCAAATACTTGGGTTACCACCACCTGCTTAAAGACATAGATTAGTGGCAGCCCAGAGCTGCCCTCCGTGGAGTCCATGGCTTCTCTTCATGGCATACTCATGTTCTCGTGCTCTGCTTCATTGCGCCCTCAGATACTGTGGTTTTTTACAAATGGAAGATTTGTAGCAACTCTGCACTAAGCAAGTCTGTTGGTGCCATTTTCCAATAGCATGCGCTCACTTTGGTAGTATACATTAGCAGTCCCCAGCCTTTTTGGCATCAGGGACCAGTTTTGTGGAAGACAATTTTTGCATGGACTGGGGGAAGGGGGATGGTTTTGGGATGATTCAGCATATTAAATTTATTGTGCACTTTAATTCTAATATTATTACATTGTAACATATAATGAAGTAATTTTGACTCACCATAACGTAGAATCAGGGGGAGCCCTGAGCCTGTTTTCCTGCAGTTAGACGGTCCCATCTGGGGGTGATGGGAGACAGTGACAGATCATCAGGCATTAATTAGATTCTCACAAGGAGCCCCCAACCTAGATCCCACGCACATGCAGTTCACAATAGGGCTCTTGCTCCTGCGAGAATCTAATGCCGCTGCTGATCTGACAGAAGGAGGCGGCGCTCAGGTGGTAATGCGAGTGATGGGGCGCTGCTGTAAATACCGGTGAAGCTTTGCTGGCTCGCCCACCCGCTGCTCGTCTCCTGCTGTGTGGCCCAGTTCCTACAGGCCCCAGACCAGTATATGGCGGGGCTTGGGGCCCCCTGGTATAAGTGGTATATTTTTAACCTACATATATTGCAAATCAGTATCTTCTCCTGGTTCATGGCTTGTCTTTTTGCTCTTTATAGTATCTTTTGATGAACCTACATTCTTAAAGTAGTTCACTTTCAGCTTTTCCCTTTGGGCTGTGCTTCTTAGTTCTTTCCCTCTCTTGAGGTCATCAACATCCCTCCCCTAGTACCCACCCAGCTATTCCGGCACTGTATACCCCCTAGCTTCCTCTGTCCCCACTTTCCAAGGTGGGTTCACACAGTCCTCTGGACAGTGTGCTTGCACCTGGAGCCTGTCCATGCCCACGGTCACCTCTCCTTATCCTGCCTAGTTGGTGGATACTTGGGGTTCAAGTTAAAGTTAGTTCATAATCAGCCTGAGAAGAATTAAATTTGATATACAGTGGCTTTGCAGCCTGGTTCTGCCTTTTATTAGTTGACAACCTTGGCAGGTTATTTAACCACTTAGCCTTGGTTTTCTTGCCTATAAAATGGGAATATTATTCTAGTCTTTTCTGTAGAGGTGGTTATGAGAAATGATGTCACACAGCTTTAGTCATAGTTAACTTTGCACAGATAACCTCTGGGGGTGAAGCTTGACATTCTTGTGTCATCCCAAACAGAGCACTCCTGCTGTCCCCCAGAGCCTTGTCTGCCATCTGCCCCTTGGCTCAAGCCCAGACGCCTGTGTACTCCGAGTACTTTTTCTGTTATCCTTCACCATCCACTCCCAGCAGTCCCTAGACTGATCCTTCGGATGTTATTTTCTGGATCTGTTAGTTACACTGACTCATGAAATTGCTGATGTGTGGCAGTTTGGGACCTACAAATCAGTCGTTTCCCGTGGTGTAATGGAACCATTCCTGTCTCACAGGCACAGCACAGCCGCCTCACACGCCCGGCAGCTTGTTGGCTGACCGCCTGCCTTCGCTCTCCTCCTTCAGGCCATTCTCCTGTAACATCCAGCTCCGTTACACTTTTTAACATGTAGGTCAGATTCTGGCACTTGCTCGAGACCCTTCCAAGTTGAGTGTTTACAATATGAATTGGCACATAGGATGAAAATACTGGCACTTCAGTGTATTTTGAGAGATTCACCTCACTTTGTTGTTGGTGGAGGTGTGTTTATTTTGTAATGTATGTGTTGCTGGTACAGTATGTGATTGGTGTGCTGGTCATATTATAGAAAGTTTACACCACAGCCACAAGGGCATTTATGTTTTAACTAAATACCCCATTATTTGGTGAAGCCAAATTCCACAGGTGTTAGATGCCTTTTATCTGCACCTTACACCTTGTGATTGTCTCTGAAATACATTTGGGTCTGTCAGGCTGTTTGATCACCTGTCTCTTCCCCAGGATTGTAAACTCTGAGAACAGATACTGTCTTCTTGGACATCTAGGACTTGAGTACCTGTGTCAGAGAACTGCAAATTAGTAAAGAAAAACATTAAGACATCCTTAACTAATGGATAAAGGACAGCAGTTCACAGGATATGAACTAAGGAAATGTTTGATCATACTAGTAAAATTTTCAATTAACTGTTAAATCTAACTCTGACAATTTTATTCTAATAGGCAATCCACCTCGAAGATCCAAGTCTGCACCTCCTCGTGATTTAGGCAATTCGGATAAGGGACAAGTAAATCTGTTTTTATATATTCAAACATACATTACTCAGGCTTGAAATCAATGTGTGAATAGACTTAAGTTTCTAAGCCATAAGTAAAAGAGTTTTTACTTAACATTATAAATGTTATATTTTGTAAACACTAGTATCAGAATCTGGCTTCGGAAGTAAGAGGAGGTTTTAGCTGCTAAAATGTCTTGTGCTTACAGGCTGCCTCTCCCAGGGAGCCACTTGAACCACTGAACTTCCCAGATCCTGAATATAAAGAGGAAGAGCACAACACACAGGGAGAAATCAGTCATCCTGATGGAAAGGTTAAAATTTTTTTGAAATAATGAATTCTAAAAAAAAAAAATTGGTTAAAATAGTTGAAACACATAGAATCTAAAATAAGGGCTCTTTGGATAACTTGCCTTTAGATGCCATTTCTCGTTCAGAGATTCAGCAAAAGAAGGCATACAATCGCTGTATGATTTTTGTTCTTACTCCAAAGCCTTTGTAATCCTTGGCACTTCTTAAAAGCTTCAGTTCATTCTAGGTCTTCCTTTCTTGCAGCCTTTCTTATACTGATCCTGAATCGGGGGCCTCTCTCCCCGTCTCCAGCCAACACAGTTTTATTCTTATGCTTAGGAAAGTTTCTTAGTGGGAAAACTGCCTGGGGGTTCCAGCTAAAGGGAATGAGGAGGAAAGGGATATATACAGGTTAGAGGTGATGAGGGAATTTTTCCCTCAGGTTTATGGAAAATTTACTTTTCAAATACCCTAAACTGGTCCATTTCTATTGAAATTATAGGGTTAGAGTTCACTGCTATCCTTGAGGAGTGACAGAAGGACAAAGAGCAACAGTCAAAAGTAGTAGTTAGACTTTCCTGTACGTCTACTTTAGGGTGACAAATCATTGATAAGGGAAGGTTTTCTTTTTTAGATGAATTCCAGCTAATACATGGAAAAGAATGAGAACATTAGAAAATCACGAGTTTGCTACTTCTGATGAAATAAAGGGTCTTTTGAGGGAATGTTTTACATTTTATTACAAAAAAATTCAAAATCGGCAGTTGGGAGGAGAATTAGGCATATCTTGGTCAGGAGAAAATCTTAGGTGACAATCTTGTGTTTTTTTAGGTGGAAAAGGTTTATAAGAATGGGTGTCGTGTTATACTGTTTCCCAATGGAACTCGGAAGGAAGTGAGTGCAGATGGGAAGACCATCACCGTCACTTTCTTTAATGGTGATGTGAAGCAGGTCATGCCAGACCAGAGAGTGGTATGTGTCCAGAGGCGTTCTCCTCCACAGCTTAACCATCTCGGGAGAAAAGGCAGACTGACTGTGTGTCTTTACAGATCTACTACTACGCAGCTGCCCAGACCACTCACACAACGTACCCGGAGGGACTGGAAGTCTTACATTTCTCAAGTGGACAAATAGGTACAAACTTGTTTCACCCTCTCATTAAATTCTTCCCTTCCTTCAAAAAATATTTATTGTAACTTTTTAAACAGAAAAACATTTCCCAGATGGAAGAAAAGAAATCACGTTTCCTGACCAGACTGTTAAAAACTTATTTCCTGATGGACAAGAAGAAAGCATTTTCCCAGATGGTACAATTGTCAGAGTACAACGGTATGACACCATTATGTTCAATTGTCAGAGCACAACGGTATGACACCATTATGTTCACAGAAAAACCACTCGGTGTGACAGCTGTTCACTGTGCTCAGAAGGTGCCCCAGCCTTGCATTTCTGATGACACACGACATCCATATTAGGGGGTTCAGTTTGAATGAATGTCCCATAGGCATGTCAAGCAGTCAACTTGATGCTTTTTCGTTCCATTCTTTCAAAACAGATTTTAAGTTTGATCATGCCCCTTCCCAGGAATAGCTGTCTTCCCCACCTGATACAGAGCAAACACTCAGATGGTTTTTAAATGTGTGAAAGAAGGGCCCATTTTCATATAACAAACAAGAGGAAGAACACAAGTTTAAAAAAATCCCTAAGCATTTTGTGGTGAAAATATAAATGATTAAAACAAGCTTTTAACAGGTCAGATGATAATTGGAACTAGCACCATGAAGCAGAACCACTGAAGAAAATCACAATTGTACAGGGGAAAGAACCAAGGGATGTCTCCAGAAGTAGCTGCCAGAATCAAAAGGCTACTTTTCAATAGTTTTCCTGTTGCCTATTTTCTATTTTTTTAAAGAAATTCTATTTTAAATTTTACAGTGATGGCAACAAACTCATAGAGTTTAATAATGGCCAAAGAGAACTACATACTGCCCAGTTCAAGAGACGGGAATACCCAGATGGCACTGTTAAAACCGTATATGCAAACGGTCATCAAGAAACGAAGTACAGATCTGGTCGGATAAGAGTTAAGGACAAGGAGGGTAATGTGCTAATGGACACGGAGCTGTGACGATCCCTGTGTGATCATGAAGTAACAGTAACTGATTTTTCTTGTTAAAAAATGTACATTTATTGTGGATTCTGTTTAATTTATTGTGTATGTGTGGGGAAAAGATTGGATTCTAAAATAAATGTTTATCCTGTGGCATCTTCATTTTTATATTCTTTGAAATGCAATGATAGCTGTCATTTATAATTCACCTACCCTGCCTTTCAACAGAGTAAGGAAAGCATTTTTACTCTTTAGAAACTGTATACAGGTTTTTACAATAAGTGGGTGTGTTTATTGGTTAGAAATGGCTATAAAAACCAAGAAGTACAGGAAGTACATTACATACATGTCCCACAGGCACATCAGCCATAGAGCACTGGACTTGCACAGAAAGTGTACTCAAGGAGTAAACACGTCTCTGTAGCCAAAATATGTTCAGTTAGTACCAAAATTAAAGCATTTGATCTACTACACAGGTTCATTAATTATAATAGAATGGGGAGTTACAACAGTGGATGAATATAAATAGGTCACATACAACCAGTAGTAATCATAGTGGGGAGAAAAGTTATAACAAGGCAGACACTGTAATGTCTCAAAATGGGACACCTGAGAGGAGAAGGGGCATGAACGATGAGTAGCCGGTGTTAACCCATGGACCTCCACTACCTTCATCTTATCACAGTGAGATTACTGTAGCCTCATGGAGGCAAAGATGTCCCTGAAGGATGGGCAAGTCACCTACTTGTAAATTTATATAATTACAGATTGGTCTAGATAGACCTTACCTGTCACATACACCATGAATCAGGTTTTGTTAATGAAATCTATCAATTCCAGGTGACTTAACAATATGAAAAATAAAACTTTTCAAAGTAAGTACATATATATATATGTATATAATCTATCTCAGAAGAGGTAAGGGTTTTTAAATGAGACAAAAAGCACAAACCTTAAAGGAAAACATTGATAGGCCAGGCATGGTGGCTTATGCCTGTAATCCCAGCACTTTGGGAGGCGAAAGTTGGCAGATCACTTGAGGTCAGGAGTTCGAGACCAGCCTGGCCAACATGGTGAAACCCTGTCTCTACTAAAAATACAAAAATTAACTGGGTGTGGTGGTGCATGCCTGTAATCCCAGCTACTTGGGAGGTAGGACAATCGCTTGAACCCAGGAGGCGGAGATTGCAATGAGCTGAGACCATGCCACTGCACTCCAGTCTAGGTGAGAGTGAGACTCTTGTCTCAAAGGGGAAAAAAAAAAAAGGAAAAAATGTTGCTAAATGAGTGAACATTTCTGTCAAATGATATTACAAAACGGGAAAGGCAAGCCCCAGACTCGAAGACATACAACAAATCAGGGATGATTAGAATACATCGTTTCTACAAATCAGTAAGAAAATTGCAAATAATTCAATAGAAAAATAGACAAAATATGAACAAGCAATGAACAAGTGACAGAATGGTCACCAGCTAATAAACCAGTGAATGCATATTCAACGAGATACGCAGTGAGATACCTTTTCTTACTAATACCACTGGCAAAAGTCTGGCGACACCAAGTGCTGACATGGAGCTCAGACAACCAGTGGTGGGATAAATTGGCAGAATATACTGTTCAGAAAGCAAAAAAGTAGTTGGAAAGTAATTGTAAAAGTAAAGTAACCCCATGACCCAGCAAATTCCATCACTATGTATATGTACTAGAAAACTGCTCATGTATACAAGGCTCCTAAAGGAATATTTATGAGAAAAAAACTGGTAAAGGAGTATCAGGATAAATTATGTGCACGGATGGATACAGCAGTAAAAGTGAATTGAGTTACACATACCAACATGGATAAATAGCAAACAAAATAGAAAATAAAAGATGATTGTGTGACAGCAGATACATTAAAAAATACACAGAGCAATACTGTGTCATTTATGGATGCATTCATATGTAGTAAAATTATAAAGACCTTTATATGAATGATAAACACCAAATCATAACAGTAGTATTTACCTCTTAATATGGTTGGCTGTGGTCCCACCCAAAATCTCCAATTGTTCTCATGATAATGAGTTCTGACAAGATCTGATGGTTTTATAAGGGATGTCTCCCCCGCTTTGCTTTGCATTTCTCCCTGCTGCCACCTTGTGAAGAAGGTGATTTGCTTCCCCTTCACCTTCTGCCATGTTAAGTTTCCTGAGGCCTCCCCAGCCATGTGTATCTGAGAGTCAATTAAACCTCTTTCCTTTCTAAATTACCCAGTCGCAGGCAGTTCTATCAGTGTAAGAACATACTAATACACTTCTACAGAATGCAGGGAGAATGTGCTTGGGAGCAGCTTTTTCATACTAATGTCTTACTTCTTAAGCTGAATCATTAGGTATAAAATGAATAAATTTTTTTCATGTGTCTTAGCTATTTCATTTTGAAATTATGGTAAAATAAAACAAGCAAATGTTTGGAAGCAAACATTTATTAACTTTTTTTTTTCCACACAATTCCTAACAGCTTGATATGTAAAAATGAGGAGAGGTAAAGCATTATTGCTGAACAAGTTAAGAAAATTAAGCCTGAAATAGTCTAAATGTAAGACATAGTCTAAACATAACAGAAAACTTTCTTCTAAGCTTCTATAGATGCTCTGCACTGTATACCTGAAAAACAAAATGTGTTATTTTAAACCTTTACTTAATGTAAATGTGCAAGTCTAGCTGAATCATTCCTTATGGACAAGATTAAAAAGTTAGCTGGCTACCCATGTACTTCAGTAACTTGGTATGAGGATGGTGGCTGCTCAGTAGTTCTGTGTGCTTAGCGGGTATTTATGTGCTTTACTTACAGTGCCCACTCTCTCCTGCTGTCCCCATGTACCCTGGTACTGTGAGAGTCATGACAGCCCATCCAAAC